ATTATATATATAATTTTTTAATAAGATGAAGAAATTTCTTTGAGATGCTTTAATTAGGTTTCTTAGTCATATCAATATTTTAAGGATGGTTGATGTACTTTGATGTGTATAAAACATTACTTTATTATTTTAAGGCATAAAAGGTAAGAAATTGAAAACAGTAATTAATGTTTCATCATCTAAAAATAATAATTAGAATAGTATTAAGGATTCTTATGAAAATAAAAGAAATGACTGAAAATGAAGCCAAATATTTTTTTAACAAATTCAGAAATTGATTAAATATTGCATATTAGTAATTCAAACAAGATTATAATTTGTTAAACATTTATTTTGAATTATAATTCTATTTTGTTGTAACCTGTTACTGTTTATCATTAATAAAAGGAATAGTGTAGCTAAAACAACTTATTTTTCTTGAAATATAGCTAATTGTACCATGCCATAACTTTTTAATTTTTTTTATTTATAATTTTATTTTACCAGGTTTTATAATAAATTAACAAATTAATCTAAAGATTGAAATTTTACTGAACATTCAAACATAACATAGGCCAATGTTTTGTTTATCGTGTTCTTTAAGCTATATTAAATTATATACTGTTATAAAAATTAGTTTAGTCTGCCAGGGATTTATTTTAGGACTCGACCAGTATTAGAATTGCTAATAAAATTTCACTCATTATTAAATAAAGAAATATTAAATTATAATTATCATAACTGTGTCACTAAAAGAATTTTTATTCTAAATCTGTAAGCTAATTTTTTTAAAATTAAAGTTCTGTTTTTCAAACTGAGAAGAGAGACATTGCTGATGCAATATTTATATAAATATGTAAAAAAGGGTCAAGTTTCATGACAGAGCCTGTGAAGTACAATTTACTTCTTTAAAGCAGTTGAAAATTTTTAATTACAATTTATATGAGATATTCATTGGTAAATTGAAAATCAGATTGGTGTAATTTTGGCAGAATAGTCAAAACAAATGTAAGATTGTCCCTGGAATTTATAATCTGTAAGTAATTATTCTGTTTTTTTTTTTTTTTTTCTCACAGAATTATTTGAAATATTGGTAAAAGAGTTAATATTAAATAACGAAGTGTTATCACATAGAAATGTTATGAATTGGATTGTTTGAAAAGTCAGCTGTTACATAATAATTTACATTTTATAAGTTGAAGCAAATCATGTCATGTAATTCCTTTAATGATGAGTCTTTTTTTCAAAGTTTTTTTGTTATTTCATTTTTAGTTCAATTTCAACACCAAATCTAATCAATAATTAAAAGAAAACAGTATTCCAAAATAATTATATATATATATAAAAAAAAAGCTGTTCATAATTACAAACTAAGTTTTGCAAATATTTGACTATTTTTGTTTGCTTTTTAAAAGGTATAGCATGACTTAGAAATAGTGGTGGAAAAAAATCTACTAAATTGAATTTATTAAACCAAGAATCACAATTGATAAACTACCACTTAATATATTAAAAGGTATAGCATGACATAACTACTATAAAGTGGTGAATTAACTTACGAATTATTTAGAAATGGTGGATAAACATCTACTAAATTGAGTTTATTAAACCAAGAATCACAATTAGCAAGTTGGCATCTCTGTGTTGAAGACATCTGAGACACTTCAATTATTGTTTTGAAATAAGAAGCAAATGATGTCTTCGTATATCAAAGGTTAAGTAACTTTTATATTTTTTAGTAACTGCATTTCTACGTAAAAGTTTGTTTATAAAATATGTTATCTTTTGGAGAGGATAATTTTGTTCTTTTCTCTAAATTATGTATTTAAATTTCATATTTATTGAATATTAGACATGTGCTATATTTTTATTTATATTTTAATGAAATGTAATGTTATTTTTCTACCGAATATCATTATAAACTGATGTTCATAATGAATCAATGCTAAATGTTACTCTGTTCATTTCATAAATTAATCATTCCTCTAAGCCAGCTTTTTTTAAACAAAAATTACATTAAAAAATATTAGAATTGATGTTTTTTTTCCCTTTTGAAACTTTCAATAAGAATAACTTAAATGGGGAGAGATGAGTATTTATTTTTTAAAGTTATATTTTTGGATTTTCAATATATTAAAACAATTTTGTAGCATAATCAAATTTGATTAAATAATATAAGTAGTTATTTACTTTTGATGCTGTAAAATACCATTTTTGCCTTTCAACTTTAACAATTTATAGAAACTTGGTAGGAAAATGATCTACAACTTAAATTACTATAATCATATAGTTACTTCAGCTGGGGGATGATTAGGAAATTAAAAGCAGTGTTTCTTTTAGGAAGGATTTATTATCTTTATCTATTTACTCTTATAAATATAATAGTTGATCAAGTAAGGATTTGTTCCCCTTCATAAAAGAGAAAAAAGTTACCAAAATGGATTCTACTTTTTAAGGAATTTGGAGGGTAGTGTAAAACAATCCAAATGAAAATTTCTTATGAATTGAGAAAAGTTTTATGTTTGAACCCGCCTTCTAAATTTAATTTGACATGAAGCCAAATTTCACGAAGATATTAAGGATAAACTTGTAAATATATATCTATATATATATATATATTGAAAATACTCATGAATAAAATATATCTTGATTTCGTACACTTAATTGTTTTTTACATTTTTTAATACTTAATAACTGTTCCAAACACTTGTATGTGGAAAATCTCTTGTCTAATAACTATATTTCATAAAAATTTATTATTTTTATTTTAAAATAAATTATTCACTTGAAAATAGTTGATTATATTTTATTGCTGTCAGTTTCAAAAATAAAGATCATTATTAGTATTGATCTTAGTGCAATTCTGTTACAGAAGTTAATAATATTGTCTTTCCTAAAAGTATTTTTTTTTTTAAGGAAAACCAATTTTTTTCCTTTTTTTTTGTCTGTCACCTTGAAAGAAGAATTTCATTTTTGTTTATTAGTACTTTTAATGATGGAAAAGATTGTTATACAGCATATTAAAATAAGTATATTTTAAAGTAGGCATTTATTTGGCTTCTGAGTTCAAGGTATGCAGAAATTCTGTTATTTATATCATTATTTATTAATTAAAAATTAATTATTTATATCATTTTTAATATTTCCCCTTTAAATAAAGTTATCAGATTTCAAATATTTGCTATAAAATTTTTCTGTCTTATGAATTTTGTTTAAATAACTGTCGCATTTTTATTACAATTTAATTGAAGCAAAAAATAATAAAGTATTATATTTTCTGTAGATGGGTGTGTGAGGATTTTCCAGAGCTCAAGCTGGCTATGGAAAATTATGTGTTACATGATTATGATACAAAAAGGTAACTATTTTTTACACATTTATAACATAGGACATACATATATATATGCATATATATGTATAATATAATATAAATATACACATACACTTGTGTGTGTATATATATATACACATTTGTAGGGATGCACGACCTTTTTGAGTGAAGGACCACTTGCACAGCAGGTAGATTAACGAAGGGTCGGACCCATATTTAGTCTTGTTAGTAGCAAATATGATAATTTTTATTTAAACATTAGTGTTCTTAAGTTTTTTTATCAGTAAACTTAATGACATATTTTTTCAAAAAATTAAATATTTTTTATTATTTAAATTTATTTAAAAACAAAGAAACTGATACTTTAAAAAAAAACTTGTTCAATTTTTTACAATAATTAATTTATCAAATATATATATATTTTGGAGGGGGTAATTCTAAGAACAAAAAAAAAAAAAAAAAAAAATTAAAGCTTACAGAATGAAAGTGCAAAAAAATCTGTGCATTTTATAGAGTAATATAAATTTGAATTAAATATTTTTATTAAAGAAAGTTTATAATGTTGAAACAAAAAGCAAATCCATTATAGTACAAAATAAAAATCAATATTTATTTAGTATTATTCCTATTTCTTGAATTATTAGAGATTTTAAGAATTTAAAATAGAAAATATTTTCTTTTTAGTTTCCCCCCCCCCAAAAAAAAAATCATTTAAACTAAAAAAAAGAATCAAAACAAAATAAATTACAAACAGTAAGCAGTTTAAAAACTCTCGTTTTCCTCAAGTTATTGAATTTTTCATGGTGCTATAATGTGTTAAAATATTGGACTTCTAAATACCACGCATAAATGCATGGTGCCAACTACCTAAACGACAAAAAAATTTTAGATTTACGATGAAATATGCACAAATAAATTATATCACATAATGATTACAATTAAAATTCTCGGGGCGTCTTAATATCATAGTTTAAATAACGGGGTAGTAAAAGTCTCGAAGAAAAGCATTGCAATAATTAAAAAAGAAATAATGATAATAAAATTTCCCACGAAATTAGCATGAGTAAAGTGTGCCAAGAAGTAATCATTGAAATGTGTGATTTAAAATTCGCATGCAATAAAAATTTGAATTTTTTGAAACTGCACAAGAATGCATTGCAGAAACTGCCGAAAAATGTATTGAAAAACAATTTGGATTTACAATGCAATCGACACAAATCTACAAGTAGATAGAATGTGATCAATTAAAGGCGCGATTTGTAACTCATGAGTTAACGTAATAAATGTATCGGAAATTTATAAACTACTTGTAAATTAGTAGTTATAAATGTGAAGAAACGATCTAAACGTCACTTGGATTTTTGATGAAATTAGAAAAAAAGAGAATGTCCAAAAAGGATTATTTAAATGGGCGATTTGAAATTTGTGTATCATAATAGTATCGTAATAAAAATATGGGATTTTCAAAATCAAGTGGGAAAATGTTCCAATGACTTCGTTTGAAAAAAATGAAATTGGCACAAATGAAGTACGTCAAAAAGTGATAAATTAGATGTGCTATTTACAACTCGCGTGTCGTAATAAATGTACCAGAAATGTATAAACCAAGGGGAAATTAGTAGTTATAAATTCCAAAATACGTTCTAAACGTTAATCGGATTGATATATGAAGAAATTGGACAAAAGAAGGTATAAAAGGATTATTTAAATGGGCGATTTGAAATTTGCGTGTCGTAATAAAAATATGGGATTTTCGAAATCACGTGAAAAAACGTTCCAATGACTTCGTTTGAAGAAAGATTAAATTGGCACAAAGTACGTCAAAAGGTGCGTATGCACCATTTATAACTCTCGTGTCGTAATACCGTAAATGTAACAGGGATTTATAAACCAAGGGGGGACAAGTGCGTATGCGTGATTTACAACTCACGTGTCGTAATATCGTAATAAATGCATCAGGAATTTATAAACCAAGGGCAGGGATGAGATTCTTCCGCGGTTTCGCGGAGTTCCGCTTTTTCTCAAATTTTTCCATTTTTCCCGCTAATTTCCGCTGAAATTTTTTTTTCGCACAAGTTAAAATATTTTATGAGGAATTTAATTTTCCGCGGAGCGAAATTATTGAAGTCCTCATTCCTCCCTCTGAAGTTTCTCTAAAAATCATTTCCTTGGGATAAAACTGGTTGACCTTTATACAGGGAAGAGATTTTTTTCGCTTTTGTCTCTCGAATTTCATCCTTTTTTTTTATTTATCAAAAACTCAGATTCTCTAAAAGTTTTTTTTTATTTATTTATTTATAAATAACCCGTTTTTTTTAAAAAAAAAAAAAATTCAGTCGTTAAAGTCAAATTATTATATTTATTTACGATTTTCAAAGAAAAACAGAAAATTCAAACTACGTCCTAGCTTCTAATCCTTCCGCGTGTTTACTTATATTAGCTATTTTCTCCGATTTCACGCACAGAAAATAAGATTTTCCGTATTTTTTATCCGTCGGCGGGATAGCTCGTATTTTCGTAATTTAGACGTCGCTGCTTCTTGTATTCTGGAGAGAAAGCAAACAAAAAAAGCGAAAAAAAATAGAGGTGGATTTGTGGTGAAAATATTTATTTGCTCATTCAATTAATCTTGTAAATTTTTATTTATTGTGTAAACAAAAAACAATTCAAACAAGCCTTTTAGAAATCCCAAGTCCAGACTCTGCAAATATCTCGATTTTTATTCACGCGATTTTAATATCAATCATCGATTTTCGTATTTACCTGATTTAAAAGTTGAACGTTGCGATTCTTATTCAGGCCATTTAAATATTGTACATTGCGATTCTTATTTACGAGATTTAAAAAACCAATATCGCTATTTGTATTTACGAGCTTTTAAAACCCTATGTAGCTACGCGAGCTTAAAATCCAATGTCGTGATTCGTTTTTGCGGTTGTAATATCGCGCGATTTTAAAATTATGCATCTTGATCTAAAAATTACGCATCATGATTTGTATTTTCGCATTTTTTAAATTCGATGTAAAGTTTCATATTCACGTGATTTAAAAGCCTCATATCGGGATTTATAATCACATGGATTACAAGTTTAAACAAAAATTTGACAAAAAAAGTGCGATTTATATATATATATATATATATTGGATTTCCTCTTTTTTACTTTCTGACTACTCTCATCCCTGCAAGGGGAAAAAAGTGCTTATGCGCGATTTACAACGCTAGTGTCATAATATCGTACTAAAAGTATCAGGACTGTATAAACCAAGGGGAAATTAGTAGTTATAAGTGCCAAAATACGATCTAAACATTAATCGGATTGATATATGATCAAATTGGAAAAAATAGGGCACGTCAAAAAATGATTATTTAAATTGGCGATTGTAAATTTGTGTCGTAATATCATTGTAATAAAAATATGGGATTTTCAAAATCACGTGGGAAAACATTCGAATAACTTCGTTTGAGAAAAAAAATTGGCACAAAGTACGCCAAAAAGTGATAAATTAGAGGCACTATTTCAACTCGCGTGTCGTAATATTGTAATAAATGTATCCGAAATTTAATAACCAAGGGGAAATTAGTAGTTGTAAATGCCAAAATACGATCTAAACGTCAATCGGATTTGATATATGAAGAAATTGGGGAAAAAGTAGGGTATAAAAGGATTAGTTAATTAGGCGATTTGAAATTTGCGTGTCATAATATTATCGTAATAAAAGTATAGAATTTTCAAAAAGGTGTGGAATATTTCATCCTTCGAAAAAATATTAAATTGGCGCAAATAAAGCATGTCATAAAGTGATCAGTTAGATGTACGATTTATAACTCCGGCAATTTATAAACCACTTGAATATTAGTAGTTATAAATGTCAAAAAATGATCTAAACATCACTTGGATTTATGATGAAATGGGCGAATGCGAAACCTGTCAAAAAGTGATTATTTAAATGTGTGATTTGAACCTCGCGTGCTGTAATATCGTAATAAAATTCTGGATTTTCAAAATTATGTGGTAAAGTGTAACAATAACTGCCTCTGAAAAATAATTTATATTTATGAAGAAATTGGTACAAATAAAGAACGTCAAAAAGTGATAAGTTAGATGCGTGATTTATAACTCGCAAATTGTAGTAAATTTATCGGAATCCTGAAAACAACATGGAAATTGGTATATATAAATGCCAAAAAAAGTCAAAACGTCACTTGGATTTATAATGAAATTTGCTAAAATTATTCGAGTTCAAAATTCTCGTATTGCAATATCGTATTTAAAATATTGGGTCTTTTAAAACCATGTGGAATTTCGTAGCAATAAAAATGAAAGTGATATCTAGAAACAACATAGTTTCACAATAGAATCAGTGCAAATTGAGCGCACTAAGAATACTTAAATGTGTAATTCAAAATTATCCAAATTTTTCGTAAAAAAAAATAATTCATTGGATTCAAAAGCTCGAGCTGGCCCCACATAGACAGTCAGTGGGCTACAGGTTTAGCACCCCTACACATGTGTGTGCTATATTTAAGTAATATACTGACTGCGTGAATGTATGCTTTATGTCACCCTAAGTTCCACAAATCACTAATTTTTATTTTGACAAAATTTTCTCGGGAGTTCCTCTAATTTAAAATTTAAATTTTGTTTCGTAAACAAAATCTTGTTGACAAGACATTTATTCCGCTATTTCTAGCACCCTCTTTTTTCTTCCTAAGTTCTCATTCACATGCAATAACTTTTTTTTTTTTTAAGATTTGTTTGAGAGAAATGCAACTGGATAAATTTCAAGAGCACAAAACTGAACCAAAAAAAAAATAAAATTAAATAATAATAATTCCATAATAAATTCAGCTGGAATTAATGAACCACACCAAAGTATAAAATTGCACCCGTAGATTCCAATGTTATTTTTTGTATTAAAAGTGCGCGTTATACGCCGGAATATACGGTATGTGCGATACGATTGTAAATCCATGTGATGTTTTGATTGTTTTATCTGTTAGTGTTGCTATGAATTCTTTCAATGCTTTTAAAAAATTTATTTTTTTTGCATTATTTATACGACATACAAAATTCAATTACAGGGCATCTAATAGTCACTTTTTCAATCGTTTAGATCGACTTTTCGCAGTTATCGCTCCTGATATCTACTTAGTATTTTCAATCCCAATATTATTAAGATGTGAGAAATTTGAATTGCATACTTGAGTAATACTTATTTGAGTATGATACATGCAGCATTTTGGTCATTTTTTTTTTTTTTTGAGCAGTTATTGCTGTTGATGTTCACATGATTTTTTAAAATCTAGATATCATACTTGAAATTAAAATGGTGCATCTGAGTATTCACTATTTGACAAATCTGTCTTAAATATTCATTAAGATATGAACAGTTTTATAAAAAAACTAATATTTTTGATTTATGTTTTCTTACTATAACTGCAGAAATATTCAATAAAATTAAACAAAATTTTTAGGGTAATTTTTAATCAATAATAAAAATATAATTTTAAAATTAAAAAATTCATTAAAAATTGCATGAGGTACAATATTTAAAGTAATCCTTTCATACTGCGCATGAGCATAAAACATTACAAATTTTTTTTTTTTCATAACTTTGTTTAGAATTGTATATGGTAACTTATGAAGAAAGTCCTATCTTGAAAAAGTTTCTAGCAAATTTCTAACTAGCTTTTGTACTTTTTATTTTTTATTGAAAGCTCTGAATAATGGGTTTTCCACAAATTTTATTTTGCATCATGAAACAAAATTTCGTAGTAAATGGTAATACCCTAAAATGATGGTTCAGACAACAGAATGTGATGGTATTAGAAAAAAAAAATTTATTTCTTATTCAGAGCTGTAACAAAATATTATTTTCCCACTATAGTGAAATTTAATTATCCTGAATGCTTAGTTATATAATATTACATCTACATTATTTTTGCAGTTATGAGAGCATGAAGAAATTATGCGACAAATATAATCGAGCAATTGACAGTATTCTGCAGCTGGTATAGTATACTTTTTAATCAATCATTTTTTAAAAATATATGATATAGAGATTGTTTGATCCTAAGCAATATATACATATATAGTGCAGTGATTGTTTATTTTTAAGCCTAATTTACATAAAAACTTTGAATGCTAAATACATAAAAAATTTTATTTCCTTAGATTGGTTATTTTATTAAATATGACATAATTCTCTCCTTAAAGTTCAAATTAGCTGCATATTTTTTTCTCCTTTTGTTATGATTTAAGAAAGGTTTAAATAAATCTTGGTTTGGCAAGTTCTTAAAATAGTGTGCAAATTGGTTATATTTTATCAAAAAGTGTAATTTTTTTTTATATAAATATTTCTATAATGCTGATTATAAATTGATTTTAAAGACAATTTCAAGATCAGCTTAGTAATTTTGTTTTTCAATTTCATGAAACTGCTTAACTATTTTCTACTTTTTCTTTAGTGAATTAAAATTGTAGCACACAACAACAGTTAGATATCATAATTTATAATTGCACTCTTGAAATTATTATTGTGTCAGACCTTTTTAGAAAATACAGTTCGAAAAAAAGCCATTTTACAATGTTTTTGTATTTCTGTTAAAATAATTTTTTTTTCGATGAACTATTTTTTCCCTTCAGTTCTACAAAGATGACTAGTTATTGTATATTGGTAGTAATAGAAACTTGTAATTAAAAGTAAATTGAATAAATTGTAGTGCAATTTTTAACTTTAAATTAAATTGCCTATTCTCTTTTTTTATTTTCGTGTGTTTTAACTAGGAATTTGTTGCTATTTCTCGAATTCTAAATCTTTATTTATTTACCTTTTAACAAAAATTATTCTATTTAACATTTCAAATTCTACCATCTCAGTCTCTCCTTAAACATGGATATAAAATTTCAATTGAAAATGTGTAAATTAAATTTGAACATGGAAATAGTTGCATGGTTTCCCACAAAAATTTCTGAAATTTCAAACATTGATGAAACAAGTTGTCTATCAGACCGCTAATTTACTTATTGTTTCTTTGCAATATCATTATTTTATATCACTCATATTTTATAATTATTTAGAAGTCTTCAATAATATAATATTTATTAATTCCAGTAGTTAATGATTTGCATTCTAAAATTTTCTTCAAATATTTCAAACATTTTAATGAAGTCTTTTTAAAATTTATGATTTTTAGAAAAAATAAGAAATACATGATTTTTCTTGTGAGAACTTGAAGTTTTAAGTGTCCCCTCCTTGAATGATTGTGTGCCTTTTTAAAAAATGTATTTTCAACAATGGTGCATTTTTTGGTGCTGACATATATTGGAGCCCATAGCTATTGTATTTCAGTATAAGAAAATTTTGTTGAGTTAAAAACTAGAAGTTAAGATATTTCTCATAATTTAAAAGGTGGAGTGTTTAAACAAGTTGCATATATTTTAACATAGTTACATTTATTTTTACCTAGTTTTAAGTATTATGGAGAGCGAAAATAAGTTTTGCCCCAAAAATTTATATCAGTTACTTTCATGTTTATCAATATACATTTGTCTGATGCACGACATTCACAGGATTTAAATATGTTGACAGAATTCAGCTCTTAAAAATAACTTCTATAACTAGTGTATAACTTATTTGTCAGCAGCTTATCATGTTAATATCTTACATTATTTGAGCACTGTTATTGTTAAAACTTTATTCAATAGTTTTAGTCAAATTTTTTAATCTTGCAAATTTGAACTAAAAAAATTTCTTTTGTTATTTTAGTGGAAAGGTACATCTAGACCTGCTCAACTTCAAACAAAGCCTAGTAATGGCTTGTTGCGTCACATTCTTCAACAATCCTATAATCGTGCTGTTACCGATCCTGAAAAACTGAACCAATATGAGCCTTTTTCGCCCGAGGTAATACATTCATGTAATTTTTCTGGATATTTATTTTCGAAATTCATATAAATCCACTTGTCTTTATATGCCTCAAATATCCATTATTTGATTTATCTCATTAAAACTCCTTTCTTCCGTCCTCCGATCACCGTGAATTAGTGATCTTGAAATATAAAATAAAACGAGTTGTTTATGTCCCTCATCTTTTTCTTTCACCAAAGAGAATAGTTTCTCTTCTCATGGCCTCTTTCTTCCTTCCTTGCAAAAACATGTGTGACCGAAGCAATGACAATGCCAAAACTCATTGCTGTTAAAAAACTTGAAAGTTTAAGTTTCAGTTTGACCCGTTAAAAGAATTGTTTCTGAATCGTTTTTTCTCTACTCAAAAAAGTGTTTGTTATGAATATTTTAAGAGATAAGAAAAAAAGTCCTCATTTTTTTTTATTTTAGCATTTCTATTATAGACTGTACCTTTTGCAGGAAAATCATATCAAGATTTGAAAAAAAAGAAAGTTTTGAAATATAATTTAAAATTTTGAACCTATAATTTGACCAAAAATTACAAGTTAGAATTTCAGTTGAAAGCCAAAACATCTTTAATTATTCAATTATTCGCTACTTCTTGTATGACAGCTGGACTAGAAAAAATATTTATTATTTTTTGATTAGTTCAGTTCAAGTTGTGAAATCGCTTGGGGACTTGATAATCAAAAAAACTTAGTTATGTTTAAATATATTAATGAAGAGAAATAACCAAAAGTTTCTGAATTTTTAAAAAATTTTTAGTTTCAAGAAATAGTCGTGGCACTTGAGGTTAAGTTCATATTTTTCATTTTAACGAGTACTAAAAAAAAATTTTTAGTACTAAAAATTTGTTCATTACGAAAGAAAGATTAAGTTATATTATAAAATTATTTATTAATAAGATGTAAATGCATATGGTAGGTATTGGTTATTCATGTTATGTTTATTTGTGCATATTAAATTTAATAAGCATTTTTAGATGTTCATTAAAGCTTTAAATTATATAATAAGAATGCTTAGAAAACAAATGTTTAAATTTTATTACCTCTATTCATTCATTTCAAAAGCATAAAATATAATAAAGATGCAAGTTAATTTTTTGTACATTGTAAAACATATGAAGAATTTATACGTTGAAAAGTACAAATGAACATACATGTGCAACAAAGAGAGATGTGCATTTCATTTCATGAATGTATACAATGCTTCTGGAAGTATCATTCATTATCTTTGAAGCAAATTATGTGTTTATTTCTATTTTATAACTAATCACATAACTTACGCTACACATTTAAAAACAAGAACGAGAAAACAAAGAAAAAAGGTTGGGAGCCTCCCTTATATTTATTCCATCTACATGAACTTCCTATTTTTCATTCGTATCTTCACTCCTATCTCCTATTTTTAAAGGGCAAAATTTATCTACAGATGTTCTGATAATTTTCAGTACCGTCTGCCATGCTGGAAGGTTTCTGCTAACAGCTCATTGTTCAGTTTTTCAGTTTGAATTCTTGTAAAGTATTTAAACACTTTGTTGCCTAACCAGTAGTTTGACAGAGAAAAATTAAATGGTGAAATTACTTGTTATAACTTGGTTACAGATAATGCTGTTGAATCAAAAACTATTGTCAATATTAACTAGTAGGCTCTCTGGTTATTTTAAAGTTAATCATAGCATAAAGCAGTAAAACTGTATGAATCACTAAAGATTTGGTACCAACAGCAGTTTATCATTGCAAAAATGCACGAATGACTCGTGGCCTATTTCCATCTGGAGATATATTTATTTATATTTATTTTTAGTAATAAAATACATTTCAAAATTTTAAATTAGTACTTAAATAATTTCTTATTTAAAAATTTTCTTGTTATTTGAAACTGGCTTGAATTTTAATAGGTATATGGAGAAACATCATTCGACTTTATAATTCAGATGATAGAAGAGTTGGATATAACTGAGGATGATATATTTATTGATTTGGGTAGTGGTAAGTAAATAAAGTATTGGCTACATTTATTTAAGAATTTTTTTTCTGAAAGTTTGTTTGGGTTTTTTCTGTAAATTCATTATAGCTTGTGTTAGAATTTAGACCTTCTTTACTTGTGTATTCCATAATTCTTTTTTAATCTTTTAGCTTGTTCAGTCTTTCATCACTTAACATTCAAAGTTTGAAATGACACTACTAAGTTATTCATATTTAATAAAACCTTGATGATTATTAAAAGGAGATATATGATTGGAAGAAAGGGATCAGTAGGAGCTTATAATCGTTATTCTTGGACGTCTTGGATTTTTTCAATTGACTGTTCTAAATTGGTATATGTGTATAAGTAGCTACGGGTAGATTTCTGGCATAAACGTCTCATTCGTAAATCAAATCTTTTTGCAAAATATTAAGTGCGGTAGTTTTTAGGTCATAAAGTTTTCTATAAATTACTCTTTGGAAAATAGATTCTTATTAAAAATATTCTCCGGTATCAAATTACGATCTTAATTAAATCTGATATTTCAAATGCTATAATAAAATTTTCTATCTAAAATATAATTTCTATTTAATTTTCTCAATTTTAACTGACTAGATTCTGATATTTTTTTTCTTAATTGATGGTTGAAAGATTTTGTAAATTTTTCGTAAATCAAATCTTTTTGCATAATCAAAATCAAAATATCAAAAAAATCAAAATTCGTAAATCAAAAATTCGTAAATCAAATCTTTTTGCAAAATATTAAGTGCGTTAGTTTTTAGGTCATAAAGTTTTCTATAAACTACTCTTTGGAAAATAGATTCTTATTAAAAATATTCTCCGGTATCAAATTACGACCTTAATTAAATCTGATATTTCAAATGTTATAATAAAATTTTCTATCTAAAATATAATTTCTATTAATTTTGTCAATTTTAACTGAATAGATTCTGATATTTTTTTTCTTAATTGATGGTTAAAAGATTTTGTAAATTTTTTTTTAGCTAAAGCTCATTTTCATGAATCTAATTCAGCTAAAACTGTTGATTTTTTTAAATTATATGTTCAATAAATTGTAATTAGAATATAAAATTTTCTAATGAGGTGGGCAACAGGTGTTTCCAAATTTTTGTAGTTAATTTGAAAGTATGTCTTCACATAAGCAACATAATTCTTGTTTATATTAAGGCAAACTAGCGATTTAGGAACAAATATCAACAGATATCAAACACTTGGTTAATGATAATGTGCTTATTTTATTATATTTTCTAGCCGTGTCAGAGAGCAAAAATATCTTTTAACTATATTAATTTATTTGCAGTCTGTAATTATTAGTTAATTCTGTCAAATTTTTAAACCTTATGCTTAAACAGAAGAAAAAATTCAAAACTTAGAAAAGTTAGTTATTAAAAATCACATGCTATCAGGGGTAGAATTTGATAAAGCTTTTTTTTTTTTTTTTTTCATATTCTTTTCTTTCAGTTAATTTCATGAAATTCAATATTAATGTTCAAAATGTTATTGGAAACTTGTGACTTAGACATTAATTGGTTAATATTCATTTACAAATAATTGCATACCTGCCAAGTCTCCTGTTTTTTAATGAAGACTCATCTATTTAACAACTATTTCTTGTTTGTTCTAAAAATTCTCTGTATTTGTTGTAGAAATATGAATAAAACTTTTTTTTTGTGATAAAATATCTGCTTATGACAAAAATACTTCTCCCTCAACAGATGGTGCTATTGCCAGTACTGTATTATGTTGAGTGTTAATAGTTTAAGTAATTATAAATTATGGTTTAAAAAATGTTCTTAAGTTTAATATTTATATACATAGTTTTTACTTCACTGAATGTTAGTGCTTATATTATTTCCAATTTTGAATGTCTCTTTTTGACTTATGAAATTATGCATGATGCATCAAGACCTTACTCATTGCCCAAAAAATGTTGCTAGTAAGATCTCTGTTATTTTATTTCTCCAATGTTGGCAGGTATGTAATTGCTTAATGATGTGTAAAAAGATTTTTTTTTTCCTCCTTAGAGGTATGTAAACGTATATAGCAAACAAATATTTCATAATTTATTTTTCAAATACTTCTGCATTTTAATGCTCGGTATTTATCTGATTTAAATCTTTATTTGCTTTTATTTTTACAATTTTTTTTTAATGTTAACATGCCAGCTGACTTCTATACTACTGCACTATAAAAAATCTGTGTTGAAGTTGTTTAAATTTTTAATTGCTTACAAAAATTAAAAGTGACAAAAAATTATTTGTACAAGGAAACATAGGTATGGAAAGTTAGTTATTATCCTTCATTTTTCTGGAATTTGGGAGATTACATGGTAGTTAGGTAGTCTCTGTAAAAATAAAAGTAGGAATTAAAATTACAATTAACACAAGTAATAATTAACTTTAGAGATGTATTAAATCACATTAAATAAAGGAATATGAGATGTACTCCATTAAATTTTTGTGTATTACTTGTATTTAAAAAACTTGGTGAAATGTGTGAAGAGGGAAAGGTAGTTGATAAATCGGGGTGAGGAGATCTAAAATAGTTCCAAAAGGAATCATCTGGTATATGGTAAGCATGTTTAACACTTGAAATGCACTTCTGTGTGCATACCATTCCTTGGGGATTTACCTGTTCTATCACCTCAAAGATGTTCCTAAAACTTTCGCATTTTTTTTTGTTTTCATACCAGGCATAGATCCTTGGCTTGATTAATTTTATTGTTTTACAGCAAGCTTATAGTATTATATATATATATATGTATATATTATTATTTTTTTTCTTTCTTGAGTTTGGGTCAGCAGTTACATCTGGCTCTTGTGCCATTCAACTGTCGTTCAATTCAATTCTTTGGAAATAGCATACTTTTGCTGTTCCTTATAATTTGTAAATCTCCTCAGTGTTAAGCCATTATCTCATTTGCATGATCAAGTGTTGTGGTATAAAAACCATTTGACATTCATATCTTTTGCTAAGAAGTGCATATTATAAATAAGTTGCCTGGTTAAATTTTGAACATTGTTTGTGTAAAATCCAAATTCTAACAACAGCCATTCAAAATATTTGCTAAAAATAAAAATTTAAACTGTAGTAAATAATGAGAATTTTTTTATGTGCTTACTATATTCCATGCAACAAAGAAAAATATGAGACAAGGTTTATGAACATATTGTATTATCTGAATATTTTTTTAAACACTGCCCAAAACTTTTCATTATGAAATGTCATTAATACTTTTTTCTTATAATAACATGAGTTTAGACATTTCTAATATAAATAAAATGTTTTTTTTTCTGCGAATTTTAGTTTAACGAATTAAATAAAAACAAAAATGTAACTTTCCAGAATTAAAAGAAAAATGTTAAGATTTTTAGAATATTTATGTATTTATTAAAATATTATAACATTCTTAGGTGTGGGGCAAGTCGTTTTGCAAATGGCTGCAATTACATCCTGTAAAAAATGTATTGGAATAGAAAAAGCTGATATTCCAGCAAAATATGCAGAGGTATTTATAATTTCTTTAAGTATAATACAGTAGGGAACCTATTATCCAGAACGATCGGGACCATCGCTATTCCAGATGACTGGTTTTTCCGGTTTTCTGAATCGCTACAAAAAGCCGTTTTCTTATTGTTAAACCCAACTGAAAAAAAAATTATTTGGAAATAATCCTAAAAAGAAGAAAAAACTATGAAGTAATACACTATTCCAAAATGATGGTAAGGTATCTTTCAAAAAAGAAAGAAAAATCTTATGAGGAAAAAAAAGTTTTTTTTTTTAAAAAATGGTGGGAAAATTTATCGAATTTCGTTCCGGTTTTTTGGTTTTCTGATTTCCGGATGATGGGTTCTGTACTGTAATACAAAATTAGTATTTTGCACAAATCATGTTTTTTTACTAAGAGATTAAATGCTAGCAGTGAAATTATGTTATTTTCATCTACCAATCTTTTTATATACTATAAGCATTTGTTTCACTTTTATCAGGAAATGGATGAAACCTTCAAGTTTTGGATGCATTGGTATGGGAAGAAATATCAAGATTACACATTAATTAAAGGAGATTTTTTAGCGGAGGAACATCGAGAAACCTTATTGAACTCTACGTAAGTCTTGTTTTGTCTGTTCTGAATATCTGTTACTCTGGAATCAAAGTAATTTTTACACACTATCCAATATCATTTATTATTTTAACTAATGAAGTGTCAGACAATACTCAATCTATTAATTTCTGTCAGCCAAAGAAAAATAGACGTTACCTTAAAACATTTTAAGTGACATCATTTGTTTGATTTTATGAAAAAATCCTCTATCATTTTCTTGCTATATTTCTCTATAGTAATAAGTTAAAATGAAATTACAATCCCAGCCTTTCTAAAATTTTTAGACTGCTCTTCCGTATATTGCTGTCTTCAAAACAAAATTATAGCTTGTAACCTAGTAATATTAATGATAACTGATTACAGCTTGTAATCTACCGAGCTTGAGATCAATAATTTGTAGCTTGTAGGAAGTAAAGGTGGCAGTGTATAATTCTGACTTCATTCCTCCAACACATCATTGCTCTCAAAATTGTTGAGATAGCTTTTATACGAGGGTTGTGCATAAAATAAGGTTCCCAACGAATTTTCACAATGAAAAACATGTTTATTGGCGTTGAATAATACATGTTTGGAAAGCTTAGACTTCCCTCTTTTTTTCGGCATAATCGCCGTTTAGATCAATGCATTTTTACATGCAGTGTACCATCTTCTTTATGCCTGAGTCCTAGAACTCTGCCGTCGCTCCGCGAAGATAGCTTAAAATAGACAGAATTTGCTTAAACTTCTTCGGCTTTGGGATGCTTCCACTAATGGGATTGTTCTTTTGTTTCCGGTGTCATGTAGTGGACCCAGGTCTCGTCCCCAGTGACAACAGAGTCCAAAAATTCCTTGCCATCGGTTTCGTAAGCATGAAGAAATTCGCAGGCGGCTTCCACACGTTGCCGTTTGTTGTCATAGTCATCCGTCCTCATTTTCGGGACCCACCTTGCCCAAACCTTGGCATATCCTAAGCGGTCTCTCAGAATGTTGTGAATGCAGGACTTACTGACAACAGGGATCATCTCGCTGAGGTCCCGAACCTTCACCCTTTGATCTTTCAGCATTGGTTCTTCCACTATCGCAATCGCTTTGTCCGAAAACGATGGCCGACCAGAATGTTGTTCGTCACGGACGTCTGTAAGTTCGTCTTTGAATTCTCTGCACCATTTGCGTACAGTTTGCACACTCATACACTCTTCCCCGTACGCCTCACAGAGTTGGGAATGAATGTCCACCGGAGGAACGTTTTTTGCACTCAAAAACAAATCACAGAGCGTAATTCGCACCTGGCGTGAGAAACAAATGGAAGCTTTATCTTTCACGGCTACCAAGACAAGAATTAATGTTGTAGATACCTCGCCGGGGTGGGAACTGGGGCAAAGGGAGCTAAGTTACACGCCAGTCTCAACAAATCCCGCTTAATTCCTAGCATCCGCAGCTCCTTGGGAACCTTATTTTATGGACAACCCTCGTATTTACCATATTGAAAACTGAAAGTGTGATACAAAAATTTCTGATTTATATGTATAATCATTAAAGTCCACTAAGCAAATTTACTAAGTAGGAGCTCTACTCCTTTATTTTTTTTATCGATTCATTGTCAAAAATAAGAAAAATTAATCTTATGCATTAATCTTGCATCTTAATTCCCTCAACAAAAAAAATTGATTATTTTTCGTCATACTAAAAAATGCTGTTGTTACTTTACGTCGCACTAGAGCTGCACAATGGGCTATTGGCAACGGTCTGGGAAACATCCCGGAGGATGATCCGAAGACATGCCATCACAAGTTTGATCCTCTGCGGAAGGGCTGGCACCCCCGCTTCGGTAGCCCGACGACCTCTAAAAAATGCATATATATTATATGTTATTATGGTGTGTCCATAAAATCTATGTCAGATATAGTTATAGCTGATAGCAGTTATATAAGAAGACTATGATTGCCTTCTAATATACTGCCTACTATTAAATTATCATTTAAGTGGTAAAAAAGGACAACTGTTCCAAGGTGTTTGCACTAGAAAGCAGGTCCATAAGAGCTGCCTTGGTTATTATCTATTCATACCTGCTCCCATGTCAAATTTACAAGAGAAGAGGAAAAGAACATTCTTGCATCCATTATAATGTCTGACTTAGATGTTTCATTCTGTTTTGCTAACATTTACTCTTAAATTTTCCTATCTTTTCTAAAATAAACAAGACAAAATTTTAAAGTTGAAAAACTACATTACTACAAATAGTTTGCTTGACAAAAGAATATCCCCCTTGTTTTATCAACAATCGTAATTCAAGTCAATTCTGCAGAAGTGGGGTTCAAGGCATGCAATACATTTTTGTAGTAATGTAGCATGGCAATTAATGATTTTGCTATTATTTATGCTAAACAGAATTCAATTTTGAAAATCAAGAAAAATTTTCTATATTCTTTCAAAGTTTTGTCTTGTTTTTATCTGCAATATGCCTTGCATTTTCACTATTTACTTTCTTCGCAGAACTTGCTAGAAGTTATCAAAAAACTGTAACAGCTTACTTTTAGCTATTTTTTGGAAGCTTGATGAGCTGAGATATTGTCTTCATGTATTTATATCCACTTTACTTGCTAATTTGTGAAGAGTGATAAGAAAGTTGACGGATTAAATGATAGAATTAAGAGCCTCTTTACAGCTTGTTCTGAAGTTTCTTTATCTTCACTTTCGGTATTTTTGCCGTTTTGGGACAGAAATAAGTAAATTTATCTGCCCGAAATTGCAAAAGGTATGCTTTGTAAAATTTTTTGAAGTTCAATTAATTTTATTACATTATTGCTAAGCAACATTTAATGTTTTAGTTTAAATTTGTTTTTTTATCCTTGTTTTGTTTCAAGTAGCTAGTTTTTTATTTATTTTTATTTTCTTTAATTTTTTTTATATTTAAAACAATGGCAGTCAACCTGGTTCCTATCACACACCAGTGCCACTATTTTCAAATATCTGTACAGGCAGAGCCGGATTATACCTTTCGTAGGCCCTAGGCATAGCCGTTTTTGGGCCCTCCCCTCCTTCCCCCACTCCTCCCCTCTTTTCGAAATATATACTAAAATTTTCTTGCATATTTTTTTAGTATTTTTATTAATATGGATTTTAATTTGCAAATTTGTTTATCGAACTTTATCTGCAATACCGACATACTGACGATATTGCAGTTGATATCGATAATACCATTATGATTAGTTCGATCGATAACTATGTAAACACTTCACGCCAACAATACAACAACAAACCAGCAAAGAAAACAGTGAAATTGATAGTGAGATTAATTACAAGAAATATTTATACTACAAATAGCTTCATAGTTCTCATGATACTACTATGATAAGTAAGTGAAGGAAATTAACATTGTCAAAAGTAAATCTTTTGAAATTATTTATAAATAAATTTGCAAGGTAGGTTAAATGTTTACTAATAGAAAAAAAATTATTTTTGTCAACAATTTTTTTCTCCCAAGTTTTTCGTAGGCCCCTGAATTTCGTAGGCCTTAGGCACGTGCCTAGTGTGCCTATAGGTTAATCCGGTTCTGTGTACAGGGTATCCGCACACCTGGAAAGTCATGAATTTCGGTATCGAACAAAATTTGTCATGAAATGTCATGAGTTTTTCTATTTTTTAAAAAAATCATGGAAAGTCATGGATTTAGGTCTCCGAAAAATCTAATTTTTAAAATGGAATCTCCCTTCCCCCAATTTCACCCTGTTCCAAATATCTGAATTTTTAACAAAAACACCACTCAGTCACATGTTCTTTAAAAATTATGGTGTTCTTTCAAAAAATGAAAGAAAAAATATTTCTAGAGCGAATTACATACCTGCCAACTTTTACGCATTTGGCGTAAAATTTTATTTTTTATATTTAAAGTGGTAGTAAATATATACTATTTTTTCTTTTATAAACTTATTTTTCAAATTATTTTGATCACCACTATTTTTAAAAAAGTTAAGTATATAGAATAATATACGTTACCAGCATTGTTGTTAGCTAAAGCTTGCTAAAATATAACGTATTATTAACGCTTACAAATGAAATTTCAATTCTATTTTACTACCACTGAGAAAAAACATAATAGAATAGATCAAAAGTTAGCAAGTATGGAATTATCCTTTAAACTCTCTTCTGTGATTTAAGAATTTTTATTATTTTTTTTAATTTTATCAATTTAAAATTCTAGTTGAAGCAAACCAGTTATTGGCGATTTTTTTTTATTCCGAAATGAACAGAAAAATCAGGAGTATTTCTTTCCTTTCTAATGAACAAGAAAAGTATCTTTAGAATATAATTCTGCAGAATTTTTTTTTTTTTTTTGCTTTTGTATTTTTTTCAGCTATTTTATTGTTTCAACTCTTTCCTTACTCTGTTTTTTAAGTTTAAAATCTATAGACATGAAGATTAAGAGTATAATAGTTTTGGTTATACCTATTTCGAATAATGTTATTATAATGCTTTTTTAAATTTATTGTTGCGTTTTTGTTGGAGAAAATAGCAACTTCGTTAAGTCATGAAAAATTCTTGGAATTAGTCATTGAAAATCATGAAAAGTCATGAATTTGAAAATTCTAAAATGTAGCAGATACCCTGTCTGTAGTAGGTGTTAAAGATTTTGCCCAGTTTTCTGTATGGAAGTGCATTAATGTTAAATCATGTATTCAATGTTTTGCATATTGTAGTGGAAAGTCGCATATGCCGGAAGTTAAAAAAATAATTTATCCATGCAATAGGTTCTTGATGACAACATATTTCAACAATCACCCACTGTAAATTTAAATAATAGTTATAGTTTTTCTACATTTAAGTAAAGAAAACCATGTCTCTACAAATCAAATTGAAAATTATTTTGCGATGATCATAAAAGAAATAGCTGATCTAACCTTATTGAAAACAAAGCACTCAAAAAATATTTTTGTTCGAAGTAGGGATACTGCACTAGCAAATCACCACATAAGTTTCAGCAATTGTGGATGAAAACGAAGCTAGAATTGAAAAGAGTGATAATTTCAATTTAGATTCTTCATCAAAAGTTGTAACCAGTTTCCAGGTCCATTCTAAAGCAAAATAATTAAAACAGATGAACTTAAAGCTGTTCTTATTTTTTTTTTAGATAATATTATGTTAAAATTATACTTGTCTTCATATAATCTCATAATAGCAAGATATAGTCTTGCCATTTTTTGTTATACTTAAATTTAATTTTTTTGGAAATTATCTTTTGCAGATCCCAGTTTTTGACCAATATCAAATTATAATTAAATTAAATTATATAAGTAGTTAAAATATAATATTTTTAGTTCAAGAAAAAATTAAGCTGAGTGAAGGAAAAAATTGGTAAAAACTCATCAAATGATGTAAATTAGTTGATAAAGTATAATAAAAGTGTTTCGTGGACAAACCAAATAATCACTAAGGAAAAAGCAAANATAAAAAAAAAAAAAAAAAAAAAAAAAAAAAAAAAAAAAAAAAAAGTGAATAACTAATAACATTATTATAATTATATGCTGGAGTTGCTAGAAATTCAAAAGACTACAATTGTCCTCTAGTTGTAATTACTTTTACTTTTCATTCAAGAAGAATTTATTTTAAAGTTATAGCACATTTACTCAATTTAAGAGTAATTTTAAATCTTTAAGTAATATAAAGAAATATTTAAAATTACATTTTTGATCTTTTACTCTTAGAATAAATTTTAGTTGAGGATGACATGTGCTTTAACGTTTAAATTATATTGTTAAAAAGGACATATAAAACTGAAAGTGGAAAATAGGGAAAAAATTCACTGTATCACATTAATTGATTTAATAAAATGAAGTAAAGTCATATATAAACAATAACAAATGATTGCGATGGGAAACTAGCAAAAAATAAAACTAAATAAAAATCTAATTAAAGCTTTTTTTTTAAATTTTAGGAATAATATGCCAGCTGTAAAATGTTTAAAGTCTGTAAATTTTCTTATAATTTTATTTGCAATTCTGAAGAAATATTAAAAAACTTTAAATGCTTCTTAAAAAGAATGCACATTTTACTTGCTAGCTGATATTCTAGCTTTGATCGTAGAACAAAATTATTTTGGAAGCTTTATTGTAATTACTTGCCTATCTTTAAAGTTAAACAAAGAAAAAAAATATTACTTTTACCCTGCAAAATTTCATTATATTAGGAACCTAATTATCTTGCTAATCCGGACTAAAGTCGTAATCATGATGATCTTTCTTTTAAAATGGATAAAAGGAATTTTTAATAATACATTTTTAAAAGTACAGTGCAGAACCTCTTATCCGTAAATCAGAAAACCGGAAAACCAAATAACTGGAATGAAATTCCGAACCGGAAATTAATTTTCTTCCATTAAAAAAACATTTTTTTTCCTGCAAGATTTTGAGCCCATTTTGTTATTTAGAGCGTACGGCGTATCCAGTTGACGAAAGAACTGATTTAGAGGATGGATCAAAAGTCGTTTGTAGACGAATCTCACATAAGCACAAATAGCCTATATATGTTATTAATGTTAATAATAACATTAATAACAATTAACATAACATTATATAAGCCTGTATATAATTTTTATTTCATAATTTCTTTCCTTATTTAAACTTAAGTGTATTATTATTTATCATTTTTTATTATTTCTAAAACTATTTCAAAATAATTTTTTAGTTTCGGTTTATAAACATTAAAAAAACTACATTTTGTAGCGATTCAGAAAACCGGAAAAATCAGTTATCCGGAATCGCGATGGTCCCGATCGTTCCGGATAGTCGGTTCTCTACTGTATTTAGTTTCTTCATAAAAATGAACACCTTAATGTAAGTATTTACATACTTAACATATTCAAAAATATTTACCTACATATTTTTGTGTTATATAAACTCAAACAGTTTTATTATTTTGCTTTCGTGCTAATTTAGGTAATTACAAAACTGGTCGGGGTTAAGAAATTTTGATATAATTGGAGTTTAAGGAATGAAGGTTGACTACCTTTGATGTACAGATTTATTACTTGAAGCTAATTTTTAAACAAATTTTGTAATATATCTGATATAGAAGTTAAGTTTTTTTCTTTTATAATTTCAGCTTGCTTTTCGTGAATAACTATGCTTTTGGGCCAAAATGTGATCATATGGTAAGTATTTTATATTCTAATTTTTAGTTTTGTGCACAATATTATGCTTAATTTTTGTTATGTTCATTATGTTTTTCATTTTCCTAATTGTATATAAAATATATTGATATTTGTTTATGAATAAGCACACAATTGATTTTTCATTATGTAGAAACAATTAACAAAAATATTACAAAAGTTTATACTGTTTTAAGCAGTTCATTAGGCATCCAGGATTTGTCAGATGCAATGTTTAAAAAAATCTTCAAGATTTTCCCCCCCAAAATATTTTACGTTGCATTTCATTTACATTGTATATTAGAAGAATGATTAAGAAAAATACAATAATATTTAGTTATAAAGAAAGAAGTTTTTTAAATTGTGTAAATGCATCTGTAAATATGACTTTCAACATTAGATGAAATAAAGGAAAACTCCAAGGTGCACCAAGAAAACTATAATTCAAGAGAAAGTGCACTAACACAATTCATCAACTTGTCATCCTTATAATAGTAAATGAAACTGAATTCAGCAGAAAAAACAATGAGTTTTTTTCTGAAAATATATTTGACAAGCAAAATTCCTAAAAGAAGTAGTTTAAGTGAAGTTAGTTGTATTTTTTATTAAAGAAGTACCGTAAACCGGGGCGAGTCTACCCATTTTTTCAGTTTGTCAACTTTCAAGTGGTCAAACTTTTGTAAATATTAAAGAAAAAAGGCTTTTAATAGGTGTTTCGGAATCGCTATTTATCCCTCTTTAAAGCTGTGAAATCGATTTTAGAAAATATTAACAGTTACGCTGTTACTGTATATTTTTATAGAACTGCTGACAAATCTCTCGTATGGGGCGAGTCTACCCATTCTACTAAAATGAATGTTAACATTGTAAATAATCAAATTTTACTATTAAATTGTTATTTTAGTTACTATATAGGATATTTATGAAGTAAAATTCATAACTTTATTATATATTCCATTTTTTTATTCATAAAATAACACAAATTGAGTATTTGATCGATTATCACATTTTGATCACAGTTTTGTTTTTATAATCATTAACTTTATGAAATAACATTTTTTTCTGATTATTGTTGATAAAAATAAATTAAAATTAATATAAATTTACAATTAAATAATTAATAAATAATAATAATTAAAGATAATTAACAAAATCATGGCATTTTTTTGTAACATTTAAATCCATTTGTTTTGCGAATATAATTTCGAACCATCTGTAATAATAAATAATAATTTATTTAACTTGCATTAAATAAAAAAAGTTAATTTTGTAATATAAAAATTGAAAAAATAGGTAAAATAAACATATTTTATATTTACATTTATATTTAACCTATAAATTTTCTTATTAATGATAAATTTATCAATGCAGAATTAAAATAATATACTCAAATTCATTTAAAATTACTTAATTTTAATATAAACAAAGTTCTAAATTATATTATTATGTTTTATTAAAACTAAATACGAATGGGTAGACTCGCCCCCTCGAATTCTTGCTTTTTGATTACAACAGCAAAACTTACATTCTTTTTTGTTTTTTTTTTCATATAAAATTAATGTAATCTTAGTCTTAGATGAGTTTATCACTTAACCAAAGTGAAAATAGTAATAATAATAATATACTTAGGGAGCACCAATTAAAGTTTGCTGATTTTCAATACAAATCTCTCAAAAGATTTTGAACAGGTCGGTTAAAAAGACACCAAATAAATAAAAACGGATCAAACTACTACAGCGCCATCTTCCTTGGAGTGTGAACTAAGTCCTCCGTTGGTAAAATTTTTTTTATTTGCATTTTAAAATAGTGAAAATTAAATAAAACTAAAATGGGTAGACTCGCCCCGGTTTACGGTAATCAAAACTGGATTAGTCAATATCTATCAAAGAAAAGTATTGTATAACTCCTTTTTAATCTGTAATCTTTATTTTTAAATTAAGATAATCTATCTTATTTCTGAAAGTTAGTTTCTAGTACTTACCTGTTTACTTAAAAGAAGTTATGACTTGAAACAGATTTAAAGCACATAAGATACAACACAAAATTTACTGGTCTCCATATGTTTATTTGTGGCAAGTAAATTGCAGTAAAAAAAATAATAAATTAAATAATTTTTTCAGAAATATGGGGCATACATTGCTTTTTGTTGACAGAAAGAGGAATAACGTAAAATAATTTTGAGCAAGAAGTAATCAAACAAAAAAATAAGTCAATAAATAAAAAAAATTTAAATATAAAGTTTTAATGAAAGTAATGCCACCACAATTAAGACAATTATTTAGTAATTTTTTATTTTGTAACTAAATTTTCCTAAAAAATTTGTAAAAAACAGAATTAACTATAACCTCATGATTAAAGAAGTCAAAGTAATATATTTTGCAAAAAAAAAAGTGCTTAGGGCTAAATAAAAAAGAATCCTCAGGCTATTTAAATACTGAAATATTAATAAACAGCTAAAGGAGCTTGAGAAGAACTTTTCTTGATGATATTTTTAACAAGCTGTCCAGTTGCAACATTTCTTCAACATACAAAAATCTTGCCAATATCTTGAACCCTTTGCACTCCAAGGGTTACTCTCAGCCATTTTCTCACATTTTAATTTCCTTCCACTCTAAATGTTAAATGTTTTACTTATTAATGTCTAGTGATCACTTTATTTAGTGGTTTTCAGTTATTATATGGTAAGAGTGCAAATGGTAAATTATCTCTGATCAAACTTTTAGTGGTTGTGTGCATTTTTTATATTGTTGAAAGAGTAAAGTACAAAAGGTTAATGGTTGTAACATTTTTATAATATATTGAAAATTTTTCTTTAGAAAATTTCATTTATCAGTTCTATTTAAAAGTACTTATGTTTTTACATACTTGCATAGTAATTATTGTGTTTACTTTATTAGCTTAAAATGAGATTTGCTGACATAAGGGATGAAGCAAGAATTGTGTCATCGAAAGCATTTTGCCCTTTAAACTTCCGCATAACAGATAGAAATCTTAGTGGTATGCTCTTTTATATATTTATGCTGAATAAAACTAAATGTATAGGTCATCATTCTGTCATAAGTTCAAATTAGGTGTAAAAAAAATTAGGTTTTTTACTGATTGTAGAATGATGCATGAATGTGAATGTGAATGATGAATGATGAATGTGTTATTATGATTTTCAAAATTACTGGATAATAATTTCATTTCCTATTTTTTTCTTCCACAATTTGCATATCAATCTCAATTGATCATTGGAAATAAAAGATTATCCAATGTTTTTTAAAAGTGTTCTTACTCATCTTTCATCACTATTATATCTGGTGTTACCAATCACTGTTATGATAAATCTGAAATTTGGCTGCTGGAAAATACTAAACTATATTAACGAATTATTATTGCAAAGAATTAAATAAAACAAAAATCAATCAGTCATTTTTTTCTTGATATTATATTCTTATTTAAGATTTAAAAAAATTTATAAATTTCATTTGAGACAATAATTATTTCAAGTAGTTTCACTCCTACAAAATCCAACTTATTTTAGTTGCTATTTATTTTGAGTAGTTTATATTTTTAAAAACCTGACTTATCAAATGATTTTGATTTTTCAATATACCTTTGATCCTAACTGTGACTGATAATCAAAGTTCTACTACAGTAGGGAACCGGTTATCCGGAACGATCGGGACCATCGCTATTCCGGATAACTGATTTTTCCGGTTTTCTGAATCGCTGTATTAAGCCGGGTTTTTTTATTGTTAAACCCAACTAAAAAAAACTTTTTGGAAATAATCTTAATAAGAAGAAAAAACGATGAAGTAATACACTAATGATTATTTCCGAAATGATGGTAAGGTAAACATCTTTCAAAAAAGAAAGAAAAATACTAAAATCTTATGAGGAAAAAAAAAATTTCTTGAAAAAAATGGCGGGAAAATTTATCGAATTTCATTCCGGTTTTTTGGTTTTCCGGTTTTCTGATTTCCGGATAACGGGTTTTGTACTGTATATCATAAATCAGTTAAATTACATATTTGTTCCAAAAGATACTAGGTTATTTGTCTGCAAATTTTGAAATAATTTATTTAACTTACTTACTAAGAATTTTCTTTTGGTTATAAATGTTAAAAATGTTTTGGTTATAAATGTTATAAATGTTAAAATAAAATGTTAATTATTAATGTTATAAATGAACGCTTTGTAATCTGTTTTTATCTTAATTATTATATCAATTACAGATATTGGGACAATTATGAATGTTCGAGAAATAATACCGTTGAAAGGATCTGTTTCTTGGACTGACAAGCCTGTGACCTATTTTCTTCATCGAATAGATAGAACAAAACTTGAGCATTATTTTCAACGAATGAAAAACCCAAGAATAAAAGTTTGTTGTATTACACATTATATAGTTTTATGTAGTTAACTATTATATAGTTTATAAATTTTATTAAAATTAATATTATTTATTTAATTGAATTAAACATTAATTATTTATGTTACATTATTTAAACTATTATATTACAGTATTTATATGACATATAAACATTAATTAATATTAATTATTTATATAAATTAAACATTATTACAATTTAATTAAACATAATCACATATATTGCATTTTAATTACAATTTAATTAAACATTATCTCATAAATTGCATTTTAATAACATTGATTAAAAAATGTTACAGTTGGAAAAAATTTCTGTTGGTGATGAAGATTCCTCTTTGGTAAGAGCAAAGCGGTTGAAGACAGGCATATCCAATCCTTGTATTCTTGATTCATCTTCAAATGATTCGAAAGAAGAAAACTCATTATCTGGTCCTACCACAAGAAAAGCTTGGTCAGATTGGTGTAGTAACAAAATAAAAGCTAGCTCTGGTAATAATAGTGGACAGGACAGTAATGAAGAAAATGGTAAATTGCTTTTAATTATATTTAGTAGTTTTATGAAAATACAGTCTAACTTGGAGAATTTGAAGTAGAAGGGACCAGAAATTTTTTTAAAATTAAATATACTCTCTCAAGCAGAAGAGATGAACAAAAAAGATGAATTTTAACATTAACTAAGAACATTACTACATTTTAGTCCTAAGTCTAACATTGTTTACTAACATAATTCTTATTTTTAAATGAAAATAATGTTTTTCAAGTAATTTGTTGTTAATGCTTTTTTTTAAAAAAATAATATATTTTGAGTAGCAGTTTATGATTTCAACCTATCAGTTAACTTAAAAATAAACTCTTTACTTGAGACTGAAGATGCTGTAATAAGAGCAAAAAGCATTTAGCTATTTCAAAAATAGAAAAAAAATGCCTCTAAATTTTTCTTTTATTGTTTCTGACATTGTTATAGATTTTTGTATTATTTTAAGTAATTAACATATTTTAATAATTTATCTAATTGCTGTCTCTCATATTCTTTTATGACATTATTTTTACAGAACCAATTAAAAGAACATGTACCGCTTCTAATAAAGGTATTAAAGCTCGTAAGCTTAGAAGATCTGAAAGAAAGCGCGGACCTGGAAGACCAAAGAAAAATGCTGCAAAATCGAGACGTAATAAACCTCTTAAATTTACTGGCTTGGACTTACTTCATGCTCAAACAATTCTCAGCACATCTAATTCTGGTAAGTACTCTTTTGTTATGTTTTATTTAGATATTAATATCCAGTAGAGAAAATATAATTCTCTACTAATGTTCGGACCACTTAATGCTTCCTTTGTATTTTATGAAATTGCTAAGTGCATCAATGTCATCATTTTAAAAAAATGTTTTAAAATAAGTTTAAAATGTTTAAAAATAAGTAAAATCACTAAATTTTATCTTAATACAAGATTGTATATTAAAATCCACTGCTATAGTAATTTCTGTTGTCATCATCAGTCTTTTTAATAGTTTAAAAGTTTCATATAAAATAGTTGGATGTGTCTGTTAGGAATTTTCTGTGTTTAATGTATAAGCATTGAGTTTTTGAAAAGGGTCCCTGGTTTCTTACAATTTTTCTTTATTGAAAATTAAGAGAATACTCATAAATGCACTAAAATATCAGTAAGTTAGCAAGGCTATTGCTCGTAAATAACTTCTTGGTGTTGAAATATTTTTTAAATGAAATGTAGGTGCCGTGTTAATGCTAAAAAGAAAAAAAAAGGAGAACATTAATATATGTTTGTTATCTGGCAATATATGTAACTCCACCATGAATATTGAAATGTTGGAAAATTTGAACAAACCATAATTCCTCTAAAATGTATTGCATTTGAACTATCCCTGTTTATGTTATTTTTTTCTTTCAAATTTGGAGTAATTCCAATAGTTTGATGATTTTCTGTAATTCAAAATAGAGTAAACTGTCATGCTTTATTTATATAACAATAATTTACTTTCAAAACCTAAGCTACTCTATAACTTAGATTGTTTTTAATAGTCTCTTCAATTAAAAATTTAATATTTCATAATTTTCTGAAAAATAAGTATAATTAGGAAAAGTGAAGTTTCAAAAATTGATATATTACCCCCTCTTTTTACTTGAAATAGAAAGGAAAATTTCTTATCTATCATCCGAAATAATTAAAAAAAAGGGAAAAAAATCAACCAAATTCACGTTTGAAATCAAACATTGCCAAATTTTCTGCATGTTTGTATTTCTTGAAGATAAGAAAATTTTGTTTATCTTCAAGAACAGTAACCTTAGTTTCATATTCAAACATTGGTATATCAGTTGACATCAAAATTTTATAATTACGTTAAATCTTTATGGTAATCCATTTCTTGATTGATTCATTTGAAAATAATTTATTCATATAAATTTTTTTTTTAAAAATTATTTAAAAAAAAATTTATATATAGATTGGTACCTTGCTCAAAACTTGAATCTGCTTGTTGCCTAAGTGCTTTATCAGTGCTTTTGGTGTGGTGCCAATCATTTGACATCTTGGATTTATTTCTATTTAAATTGATATCTTACGATTTCAACCTATGATCTATTGTAATAATGCATCTGAAAAATGCTTGAACTAGAATATTTGCATTTACTGACATCAGGGTTGGCAAGGTTTAGGACAGAATGGATTAATCCACGGTTTAAACCCTGGTTTAAACCGTCTTGTCCAAAATCCCTTTGTCCAAAACTGTCTTAAACTGTCCAAAACCCCTTTACTCAAATTATGTCACAATTTTATCTGAACAATATTTAAGAGGTAAAATAAACATAGAACTAATAACATATTGATAATTAAATATACTAGAGAATATTTGTTTTTTTGATAATTAAATATACTAGAGATTATTTGTTTTTAAAAGTATAATGTTTTATTAATATTGTTTGACTCTTCAATTTAAACAAAGGAAGATTAATCAGTAATCAAGTTCAATTGGTTCTCTCATTCAATAGTACATAACTGAAGTTTGGCCTTGCCATACAGGTTAAAATATTAGGGAGTAAGTGCTTGGTTCGTCATAAACAGGTTTATTTATCTATAGTACTATTCAAGAATACATTTTATTTCATTCATGTTCAATTCTTTTAACATAGCGGTGATACATCACCAGTGTCAGTAACTGAAACTGATGTTATGCCCTTCAAAACTGTTGATACATTTTTCAGTTATTTTGTATTTTCAATTTAAAAACAATTTTTTTTTTTAAAATAGATGTCTTTTTTATCATCCTGTGATGCAGAAATTATAATATTTTTTTAAAAAAATATTGTGAAAAATAAAAGGTTAATTTTTGAACAAATTAAGTATTTTTTTTAAGAAAAATTATTATTTTTTAATATTGCCATATTTATCCTTATGCAAAAATATTATTTATCAGTATTAAAAGCATACTTTTATTTAAAGGATTAGGTATTCACTTTTGTTGTTCAATGAATTGTGGAGCTTCAAAAATTATAAACCTTTTCCTATTATATTATATTATTTTCTTTTAATAAGTTATAGTAAATTGTATAAAAATATCAAATATTTATTGATACATGTAATTATGTGTACAATGGTTACACCTATAGAATTTTTGCCTTTTACCAAAGTTCAAGGTTTTGGACACTTTAAGACAGTTTTACCCAGTTTAGGGCAGTGTTACCCAGTTTAAGACAGTAAAACCCACGTGTCCTGTCCAAATCCAGTTAAGGACGTCCAAAACCCCAACCCTGACTGACATGTATGTTAAATTACATACGTTAAAATTATTTCAAATTAAATCTTTGAGGCATTTTTATGTTCCGAAATTGAAGATTTTCTTAAAGATTTCTTTTTTTTTTCATTTTGTATTCATGATTTATTTCCCTTTTGCTTTATTATTAGCACATTTTAACAAAACCTTCTTAATGCAGCAAATAGTACTGATCCTGCTCCAGGATGTGTGGATCAGAAACTAAATGATACGCCAAGTGTTGTTGAAAAGGAAATTGAACCTACTCTTCCTATTGAAAGGCTGCTTGAAATGCAGAAGAAATTGATGATTGACTTCTTAAACTACATGAAATCTCCAGACTATCGAAACAATTTAGAGGCACAGATTTTGAAGGAGAAGGTATTATATATTTTAGAATACTAGCACTATTTACGGAGTGACCATAAAGCAGGGAAATCAAAGAGAACAGCAAAAAAACAGGGAATTTTGTTAATCAAAACAAATAAGAGAATTTCTTAAGTCAGGGAATTAATTTAACTTTCAGCTGCCTAAAAGGATTTTTCTTTTCAGAAAAGAAACGAAAAAATTTATAAAAATTCTGAAAGATATTTTCTGATCCACGATAAAATTGATTTCTGGTAATAGTTTTTTTCCCCCTTATTAATGAATTTATAATTTTTACATTTGTAAAATAACATCAATATTTTATCTATTTAAAAAAAAATCTTGCAGCATAAAGTTGATTTAACATTTATGAATAATTATTGCTCTATTGAAATCAAATGTTTGTCTTCAATATCCAGACAAAAAGATTTCACAATAAGCATTTATGATTTAACTGACCACAAATGTTTCCCTTAATGACAAAAAGTTACTCTTTCCTTTGATCTCTTATAAATATCAATGTCATAAAATAAAATGTGTGTTGTCCATTTCATGTTTTTACTGTTGTCTATCTGAATCTTACATAATACGTTTATATTATTCTAGTAGTTTATTTTTTTAAAAAAATTGCTTATTTTTTATTTCAGTAACAAATGAAAGTGTTTTATAATTTAATTTATGTTTATGAATGGGGCAAAACTGAAAAGTAACCATGAAATTCATACTATCAGTTTAAAAATATAGAAAAGGAAATTTTATAGTCTGTTTGAAACAGTAAAGGAATTTTTTTTTCAGTGTCAGTGAACACCCATGAAAAAAATAATATTTTAAAATATAAATGATGACTTTTCCATTTTTCGTATGCCTTATTTGGCTAAATATTATGTTTTTAATTTGGCAAAAATATTTAACAATAGTCGAGAAGTCTAGTGTTAGTTAAAAGAGAGAAACATTCTTAAGTAGTTTAAAATAATTGCTTATTTTTCATCCATAAATGACAGCCTTCCTTTTTTCTATTGTAATGACTTTAGATGCTTTGAAATAAGATGTTGATGAAATCTTAGTAAAATGATATTTTTAACCGGAACTTAAAAGATATTAAGCTTTATGAATAGGTGATCCTTTCTCATGGAACTATCTGCATTCCGTTTGTGCAGACATGCAAGTTTTGGAATAAGAAGTTATCTTAAAAATTTGAAACTTATTGGTTACATAGTTCTGCTTTCAAATGAAAATTTTCCTCCCTATGGCCAGTTTTCTTCACTGCTAAATTCTTTTCTGTTAAATGAAAAAAATATTAAATAATAAACTATCATTTTTATAAGCTAAAATTGTTTCACTTTAGTGGGAAAATAAAGTAAGTGGATTAAATATAACTGAAGTGTAGTATTTCTAAAACAATGACTATTTTTTTTTTTAAAAAAATAAATTCTAATTTATTAATCTCCAAAATATTAAAGTTAGAAACAATTGATTAAAATAATTTTGGAATATTGGCAGTATACTTATAATTATTATGGTTGTCCGGCAGCTTGAAAACTCTTTATGTCGGAAAAACCATCAAAGTAATTAGTGAAGCGGAAAGCTTGCTCCAAAACTTCCGCTTTAATACTCAGCAAAGAACATTCTAAAAGCTCTAGACAAGTGTCTATCTATGATTGGTTGAAAGTTGAAAATATCGAAATAATATATTTAAAATATGGAGATTTTATTAACTTGATTTTATTTTATTTAAGTCATTTTTGATTTTTTTTTAGAGTGAAATTTTTTAAAATAGCTATTTGTTTTGTAATAAATTTTTTTTGCAGCATTCCTTTTTTAATTGGATAAAGAATTTCTCCAGCACACTTATAGATTTTCCTATGTATTATTAAAATATGTATTTAAATTATATGTAATTGTTTTTTTTAATTCTTAGACTGATAAATTACATTGGAAAATTAATAGTTAAACTAAAAAACTCTAAAATCTTTTAATATAGGAGCGTAGCAAGAAGCTTGAAACCTACTCATCTCACCTGCAGAAAGTTATCAATGGATTAAGAAATGAAGGAGTTTCATTGCTGAAAGACAGAGTTTCTGTTTTAGGATATTCTATAAACCACTCTAGTGATCTCTTATTTAAAGTGAGTTAATTTCTGTTAATTTCTTGTTATGTTTTCTTTCATGTATAATTCGTGCTTAGAAACCATTCTGTTTTGTTATGTGCTATCACACATGCATAATATTTTTTATGAATTTCATTTCATGCTCTTGTTAATTCCAATCTTCCACAAATTCCAAATATTTTCAAAAGTAGCATTCACTGATGTCTAACTCAATCCCCCAAATCGTAATTTTAATGATCTAAATTTTATGTAAAAAAAATTTTCCGAAATTGACTCTCAAGTTGTTATTTTTTGGTTCATAAGAGATGCTGTAATTACAAAATAAAGATTAAGTTAGAGATCTCAAGAAATCCTTGTCAGATCAAAAGAAAAAAAATGGATTTCTTGGTATTTCTAATTTAGCGGTGCACAAGTAAATCAAAGTATTTTGTTAAATTTTTTATTTTATTTTACTTTAAATGGACATTTATGAAAAAAATAAATTAAGTAATAAAAAGTAGTTGAATTTACTTGCTAACTGAAAAGTGCCAATTTCTTTGTATTTTGAAAAACTGAACTGATTTATTTACCATAAAGTGAATCGAATGCACTTAAGATTGTTACACAATTAAGAAATTTACAACCTGTATTAACTTTTTCTTTTTCCATGTAGTTTTAATAATCGAACTATCTGAGCATCTAATTAGAACAATATGTGTAAATTCTTTTGTTGGACAAGAAAAAAATATTTTTTGTCTTGAATATTCTGAGTCTTGAATGTTTTTTCCCCCCTTTACATTTTAAATACTATTTTTGATGAATCACCTCTTCATGTTAACAAATTTTATGCTTCTTGTAGGTAAAGGAAAGTATCCGGCATTATATGAAATATAAATCTGATGTGAATAAAATTACAGCACAAATTCTAAATCTGGAAAATGAATATAAGAATTTGAAAGGTTCTAGTCTTGGAAAGGTAATTTTATTGCTACTTGTAAATTATTGAAATTAAAAAAAATTAAATTCTCAGAGCATCTACCATTGAAAATATTTTCTAACAACTCTAAAATATATCTACTGTTTCATTTTTTTTTAATACTAATAATTTTTTAATAAAATGTTCAATGTTATGAAATTAAATGTTATGAAGAAAGGTTCACTAAGATTAAATAGATTTGAAAGTATAAAATTGTTTTAAAATAATTGCTTGTCAATGTTGAGTATGTTGATAATTTATAATTACTAATAAAATTTGTGGCAGAAATTATTAAAACTACATAATTCAGTATATCTTAACAAGCATCTGTGAAGTAATGAATATTTATTTTAAATTTTCAGCTTGGTGAAATTGAGTTTAGAGAAATTCTGCATAAAGAAATACTTTCTTATCAGAGAAGCATTAACCGGTCCCAAAAGAAACCTCACATATCAGGAAGTAAAAATTCATATAAAGTTGCTTTAAGAGATATTTCTCAGAAATCTGTAAAAGTTAATAAATCTGTCCAAATGGATATTAAACTGCAAGTTGTATCACCAAAAATGCAAAGAATTCAAGACAGTATTACTATACCAAATTTTCAGGATAGAATCAAGGCTATCATTGCATCTGGCTTGAAGGATTCATCAATGAGTGACTTAAATAATGATTCAGATAAAATGAAAGAAATTACAAAAAGCTCTCTTTCATCATCTCTTACTACTTCGAAACACAAAGAGTTAGCTGAATACACCAATGAACATGAGTTTTCAGCTGAAAGCCATATTCTGATAAAGCAAAAGCATTTAAATGGGCAAAAGGAAACTGAAAGAGTTGATTTTCTAAATATTTCAAGTAGAGAGCTTAAAGTTAATGGAAGTCATTTTAAACAGATGGAATTATCCGATCCTGAAATAAGTAGTAGTTTAACTAATGCTGCATATTCACCTATAAGTCCAAGTAGAACACCTTCCTCTAATAGTCCGATTTTTCATTCACAAGAAGCCTCATCAAAATCTGTTTTAGCTGGATATCGAATCCACCATGAAGCGTCTGGGAGCAAAAATGTACCAAGTCAGCATGTTCAACAATATTATAGAAAATCTACATCAGAAACTAATTCAATTGTCTCTGAGCGACCTACAGTCGATAATCAAGCAAAATCTAAAGATACTCATGCCAAAGAAAGCTCATCAAAATCCATTAAACATCTATCATTTCAACAGCACATGGATAGAAAGTTAAAGAACTCCTTTGAAGAACTTAAAGCTAAAAATGGATATTCATTAAATATGAAACATCCTTCTCATCCATATTTGTCTTATCACAGAGATGATCCATGCAATCGTAAATTAAAATCTAAGTACAAGACCCATCCTGATTTGCATAAAGATAGAAGGGAAAGACCGCACATATCCGTTTCTCAATTATCACCAGATAGAAAAAGTAGTAAAAAAGATAGTAGTGTTTATCCAAGACCGATGAAAAGTAGTTCTTCAAAGTCAGAGTCTAAGCGTAGTCATTCAAAACACTCTTCCTCATCCACTAAATGTGAGTACTATATACTGTTATTTTATTTTAAGAAACTTATCTTTCATATTCCGTTAAAGTCTGTTATAACGACTATTTATAATAACAAATTATATTGTTGTTTTCAACACTAAACAGGGTTGCCACAGGGAAAACCTGGAAAATACAGGGAATTTAAAAATCACCTAAAATGGCAAGGAAATTGCAAAGAATTTTGATTTTTTCTTTACAAATTGGGAAAATACAGGGAATTATGTTTCTTATATCTGTCTTTTAAAAATTGGTGACCACTCAAAGTGTAATCTATGGGATATTTAATCATGATATTTCAGCTATACTAAACTATTTCATTTACTCTAGCATTATTTAAGTATGTTCAGCTGTTTTTACTGCAATTAAAACTGATACGTATAATTAACCCAATATAGCTCACACAAGAGCTCAGTAATTGTTGTTTCCTCTTAACATGTTGTGTATAATATGTACAGGGAAAACACAGGGAATTTTTTTTTCCAGATTGAGTGGACCCTGTTAAATTTCCATATTTAATGTTAAAATAACAATTAAAGACTAAAAAATGAAATAGACATATTTATCTCGTTTATATTAAACAACTATTATGATTTAAATTATGTACCCAGAGTACAATGTTTTTGCCTATAGAGTATAGAGTAAATTACGTAGATTTGGGTTTAATAAAAGAGATGTTTCTGACAAAAGGAACAAAAAGCTTACAAATTTTATAACAAGTTTGTGTTAGGGGAAAATGAATTGCAGTGCAATGCCTTTTAATATCACTAATAACAGTGAATGTTGATTTTAATTGTAAGTTGTCAAGAAGTAGGGAAGTAGTAGAAAGGCCCACAAAAAGTGAATTTTTTTGTGGGATTTTTAAAAAATGTCCAAGTACTTTTCTTTAGTTAGGAAAAAGATAACTTAGACGGTGATCATCCACACATTACTTTATAAAGTAAAAGGTTTAAAGTGTAAGAAGGAAACAATATTTGTTTTTCTGTTTTGATGTCAGAACCAGAAATAAATAAAAGTATCTTCCATTTAAATTTTTTTATTTGTGTAATTTTGCTCTCTAAAAATGAATTTCACTAAATTTTTTTTGATCTAATAGCGGAAAATCCATTAATTTTTAACTTGTTATAAACATAGTATTTTTGTATCTTAAATATTAGCATTTTGATGGGAACTTGGAAATGTGCTATAATAGATTTTTTGTAATATACCGTTCACATTATATTCAGCTTTAATTGTGTTTAATTTCCTGCATAAATTATTCACCCCATAATGGCGTTTGTATTCAAAATTTGCTGGCACAAATTGTTTTCCGGTAGAATAACTTTGTAATAAACTAGTTTCTTTTGAAAAACAAGAAGCACAGGAACATAATTTAGATTTGAAAATTTGCTGAACGAGATTAAAAGTTGTTAATCATTGAAGAAAGTCTAACTTAACATTGTCTTGCTATTTTTATAGAATAATATAATGTAATAGATAAAATATTTTTAAAGGCTATCTTGGGTTCGTTTTTCTGGTCTAGATTTTTCGTTATTTATTGTCTTTTTTTTCTTATAAATTTTTTACACAATGGTGTTTTATTATACGTCTTAAAAATTAAAGACAATATTTAAATCAAAAGAAGCATTCCATGATATTTCAGAGTTGGATTCCCCCCCCCCCACTTTAATATATAATGCATTTAGAACTTGTGAATAGATATTTCAGTATTGTTTATTTATAACACATTTTATTTATAACATTATTATTTATTTTAAAATTATTTTTGACTGAAGGATGATTAAGAATTTTAAAACTGAAAATGTGGATAGTTTAATATAAATCTATATAAAAATCTTATTTTGAAATGTAAATCCTATTAGTATTTTACATGTTTCAAAAGATATTGTAAAGTAATATTTTATAAATAAATGTATTTAAAACATGCAGAGTCAGGTTACAGAGAAAGTTTTTAATTTAATATGCTTAGTGTATTTTTATGATTTGCTCCCAAATTTGAGTATAATTTTAATGGTCTGCTAATCTTTTATGCAATATTAACTAAGGCTTGAATTTTTCCATCTATTTTTAATTAAAGATTTGATACAAAAATAAATAAACTGTATCTAGAGAAACTTAGTAGGAGATGTCTATTTTTAATAAATAAAAATAAGTGTATTATTTTTCTCTAAGATCTACGTTTCATCCAAATATCCTTTTATGAAATATTCTTTATTGATATCAGTGTTAGGGTCTAACTCTATTGTAATTCCCTAAATCTGTGACTTTTCTTCATCATCATTACTTAGAATTTTATTAATGGCATTGTTGCTCTGAAATAGTGTATTCCCTTGTATTCTAGAAACTTGTTTCATTGCACAATATGTATCTATCTGTGAGCAACAAAAGTTCAATATGAGCACCAAAATCAACAATAGTTAGATCTGTTTAGTTTTTTCAAACACACAGTTTCCTTTTAAATTTGTATAATTTGCCCCTCATAACTTCATTTCCTCCACAGTAAATGATGTATGACTTATATTTGTCGGGTCACTCGAGAAAGACCCTTTAGAACCATTAAGGTGTTATTTTTTTTACAACAAAACCAAAAGTTCAATTTTAAATTTTAATTTATGGTAGTGTCAGACGAAATAGGAAAAGTCTTGAAGCTGTGGGAAATTTTAATTAGTATACTTAGATATTACTTTGATGTTGAAAAGACATGAAAAGCTCTCTAAGGTTAAGCACTGAAATGCACAGCTTAAGCTATTTAAAAATTATGTGCTAAAGCCATTTTAAAACAATTATACTTTACTAGTAACTCAGTTTGTTATGGAAGAGAAATAAGAAAGTTTATCTGATGAAACAAATTAGTCCTTAAATTTTAATGAAGAATAAGATAAAAAAAAAGTTGGTAAAGCAACTAAAATGTTCTTGTGTTAAATTTATTTTATTTATTATTTTTTTGGTTAAATTTTGGATGCAATGAATTTAGAAATTTTTTTATGTTAGTAATTAATGTATATAGTTTTTAAACTAGAACTTATGTATTTTAATGGATTAATCATGTAAGTTAGTTTAAATTTTTGAACTAATTTTTATTTATTTATTTTGCTACAGGTAATGGTCTTACTAAAGAACGTAATAGTTCAAGCTCTCAGTCACACAATCAAAAATGGCAAGCCAAAGTAAGTAGTGGATTTGATAAATTGCTTGCTCTTGCTGCTACACAGTTGAATCATGCCAGTCGAGAGTACAAATGCAGTCAAGAAAAGAAAATCATGAAAAAAGATCCTAAGACCTGTCAATTTTCTCCTTACTTAAAACCCGATAGCTTTATTCATGCAGATCAATGTAAACCAAGTAAAGATGCTAATGGATCTCAAAAGAATACTTTTTCTGAATCATCAAGATCAGGTATGTCTCAATCAGAATCACATAAAATGGCTAATTCTAAGTTAAATAATATAAATAGATCTAGAAAAGGTCCTCGCACACCTCCAGATACTCCTCCTCGTACACCATCTGTATCTCCTGACAGAAGAGTCGATTCGCCCTATTTTCAATCACATAGTCCCATAAGTAGTGTGGAAAGTATAAGCAGCAATCGTAGTTCGTTAAGTCCACCCTATATTAGTCCAGCTAGAGGAAGTAGTAAGGATCGATCAAGATCTACTAGTCCATATAGCAGTAGAGCCTCTAGTTCAGAAAGACACAGTGAAAAATGTTCATCAAGGAGCTCAAAGGGTGCATCGCGTGAAAATGACCACCATGAAAAGCAATCAAAGCGCAGGTGGCAGTATAAAAGTCGATCTGAATTCCATAATCGTTCTTGGGCCAAAGAACAAGAATCTGTTCGCTCCAAAGCAATGCAAAGTCATAGCAAATCTAGTACTTCAAAGAATGGTACAGAAAAGTCAAGTGTCTCGAGTTCTGGGAAAACAAGGGATGTAATGCATCAATTGATGTCTCAACAAACAAAAGATGTTTTAGCTCATGCGCCCAATGGTTATTCAGTTGTTGTGACTCCATCTCCTCTGCATACGATTTATGTTCCAACTGCAGGGATGTGCAATCAACCCCCCATACCACCCCAGCCTCAAAAATCAGCAAATGCTAATTATTCAGTCACAAACCCTTGTGGATCTATATCTGCTAATCCCATTTTAAATTTTACTATTCCTCCACCAAATTTTAGCATGCCACCACCACATGCAACCTCTAGTTCAGTAAATGTGCCCCAAATGTTATCTTCGCAACAACAAGTGCAGCCTATTCAGCTACCTGATGTCACTGTTCCTCCCCCAAACATGGTTTCAGTTGCATCATTTTTGCCATCATCAAACATTCAGTCATGTCCACCTCAGTTAGAACCTGCTGTATCTAATAACCGATTGTACCGTCAAACATCACAATCACACCCACCCCCTCTTCCACCAACAGTTGCGCCATCATCCACATTTAATTCTATGGTGCAAAACCAGATCTATCGAACCAATCAGAAGTCCATAAGTAGTGGAGGCCCTTCACATCAATTGGACTATAGAGTACCTCAACATTGTGCTCTTCCTGGCAGTGGGAGTAGCAGTTTCTATCCAGGTAACTAGGTCTAATTCTATAAATACCTTTTTCATTTTTTTTTAAGTTTAAATTTTTACTTACATTAGTATCAAATAGCATGCAACTTTTAATGTTTTTATTCTTGTGCAAGTTACTTGAATTTATAATTTTGCTAAAAAAAGGATATGCTATTGAAACTTTTGCTTTACAGCTTTCACGACTTTTATTTTCAATTTTTGCCTTCATTAACTAGTATAGCACAGGGTTTATCAAACTTTTTCTATCAAAGAGTATCTTTGAAATAGGAAATTCAACCTGTAACTTGAAATTTTATCAACCATCAACTATATACTGTATTTATTAAATTGAATATTAGTTCTGGCGCGAAAATTGTAAAATTTCTACTGAATATCTTACTCTGGATTAAGACATGATCTGTACTTTGTTTTAAAAGCATGTGTAGAAATGTTTCATAAAAATAAATAGAAGCACAGAAGAATAAGTTTTTCCTTAGTGAAATTTATTGTCCTGAAAGAATAGTGGCTATTTTTATTTTTTAACATGCACCAAAAATTTCAGAAAAATTTCTTGGTATCAAATTTTAATCATATCTGATGTAAATCTAGCAAGCATTCATATTCCTGTGTGTCAGAGCACCTGCTAGAATGTTTGATTATTGTTCTTCACCAAATTCTTATGTAAGCTTAAAACAATGTTGGCAACAGTTTTTTTATTGATTTTGTTCCATACTTCAGTTTTTCTTTAAGTCTTTCCACTTTATCATTAGCATCAAAAACTGTTACTGCTTTACCTTAAAGTGAGTGACTTAAATTACGAATACTGTTAATATTGTATAAAATACTGTTAAAAGTATGAATTGTATATATCAAATCATACTTTTGAAGAGAAAATTTAGTGGATTTTAAACAAAAAAATAAAGTAGATTTTTATAAGTAAAGTACTTATGTTCATTTTGATATAGTTAATTATATATTCCTGAAGATGGAGGAGAGCTCCTTATCTTACAATCAGTGATATTATAAAAAGAAATAATGAATATTTTTTCAATTTTATAATAGGAATCTACCAGGTTTGAATTTTAAAAAAGGGTGAGACAGATTTTTTCCTAACATTTCGTTGAGGGAAAAAATGAAATGCAATGGTTTTTTTTTACTGACCATTTTCTTAAAATTTGGTTTTGAGTTCCATTATTTTTGTCACGAATAGCAAAGTGTATCTAAAACATAATTAAAATTTGTAGATAAGAGTTTTTCAAAAATGTTTTCCTACCAAATTTCGCTGTCTTTGAACGATAGCAAAATTTGACTCATTATATGTTTAACTATAGTGATACCAAAATTGTTCCACGGAATTAATTCTTTTCTATTCATGTTGTTCCATTTTGCATTTTTCTGTTCATGTTGTTCCATTTTGCATTTTTCTGTTCATGTTGTTCCACTTAGCACTCTTCTGTTCATGCTGTTCCACTTTGCACTCTTCTGTTCATGTTGTTCCACTTCACTGCTTTCACCTTCAAATTAATCAAAGATAATAAACAAGCATTTTCATTATTGTCCATGTACTTAATGCCTATGTGTTATTCCTTTACGCTGTTTCACTATTTTTTTCCTTCTATATCTATTTTCAGTTAAAATAATTTAAAAGTTAAGTGGAGGTAGGTTTTGAGTAGTTTTTTATCTGAAATCTGATCTGTAAATCAGAGTAATTAATCATATAATTATTTAGTGTTAACAATTTTTACAGAGATTTAAAGCTATTTCTTTTTGTAATTCATAGTTAAAGTTTAAAGATTGAAAATTGTAGTGTACTACAAAAATAATGAGTTAATTTGTCTCATAAAATTAAAATTTTATTTTATTTTGTAATTTTATTCCTTACCAATCTGATTTTTTACCCAATTATGTTGTATATTTATGTTAGTTTAGTTTCTTTTCATCTTGTTTCATTTTTATTTAAATTTAGTATGTTGTTTTAGATTATTTATTTATGAACTAAATATTATATTACCTTACATTGACAGCTCAAGCCCACTTCATGGCTTAGATGATACCTCACTCTAAAAAGAATATAATATATAAATGAAAGGCTGAAAAGAGCAAAGTTACCATTCTACTGGCTGGCCGGTGAATGTTTATGATGTTTGTGCTAACCAAGACCAACACTGCCATAAATTTTGCAAACTGCAACCTTTAAAGTACAAATTATTCTCATGCTCGTATGAAGGAGCTTTCATTTTGTAATTTCATGTCATGTACTATTGTTTTGCAGTACTAGATTAGGTTGAGTAGAAATAAGGTTTAGTTAAGCTCACAAACATCTTTTTATCCTGAAACCATATTGACTTTTCAACTATATTTGTTTTACCTATTAATAATGTAGTCAATGCATTCAGTTTTCACTGAAAGTGTTGCCAGTTTCCTAAACTGGATTTGTGTAATGCATTCAAATGAACTAATTTAAACAAACTGAGCCATTTTTAATGTACCAAATCATTCATAAAATGAAGAATTTAGTAACAGTATGAACACTGCCATATATTTATTTATTTATTCCTTTTACTTATGCTACAAAATTTAAAAACTATTGTTTTTTAATAGTCATAATCACCATGAGTTACAGTATTTGTACTAGATTTTTTTTAAAGTCTTTTGTTGACTGCATTAACTTTCTTTCATTTCTAGTCGTTTGAATCATAGTTACAATTATGAGTGATGTAATGAAAAGATATTAGTATACATTTTTGATAAGCTTAAACTAATTATTTTTTTCTTCTTTTGCTCAACAATATTCTTAAAATTCACTTGAACGTGCTAAGCCTAACTACTTAAACTCTTGTTAATTTAAGTATCTGAACATCACTAGTTTTGATTTATATAATTGTGTGGTAAGTTTACAACTAAGTTTTTTTTTATAACTGCAATTTTAAGATATGTTTGTTTTGACTACTTTAGAAATAAGTTTCTAATTTCTATTCTAAAATTCTGCAGATTCCATCGAGTTTTCCTATCTCCCTTATTCAAAAAAATATATATATATATATATCACCATACTGTTTATGCCCAGACTGTATTATATTTTATATTTAATTCTGTTTATTTCTCAGGGGTTTTCTGAAAAAATATATTGTCAATAAATATTGCTAATAAAAATACATTCTCAAATTAAATTAAGTTTCTCAAAATTTGAGTCTTACGCCAAATAATCCAATGTTCTCCTTGGCAGTTTGATTTTATATGTACGAAGATGCTTCATATGCATAATCTTACAATTTCATATAATGAGTAATTGTAATTTTTAATGTGACCAAATTTGAGTGTTGGTGCAACCATATCATTTTTTAGTTCATACATCTTTACTACTTGTCTTGATTTTATGAGGATTTTGTTTTCCCAAAACTACCTGTGATTAAATACATTCAGATATGTATGTTCATTTTTACTAGTTCATTGCAGATTGCTAGCCTAAAACAGTTTGTTTCAAAATGAATTCTTGAGTGTATGTGTATTTTTAATTATGCAATGTGCATCTGTGCAGGTTTCTATGTGATATTTATCTAAAGTCACATTCAGTTTTTATGGAATGTGGAAATAATTGTGTTCAAAAATTGCCAGAATTCATAGTAATGATTCAGTGAGATTTGATATTATTCTCACATCTTTCTTATAAAGTTCAGTATCCTTAAAACATTTTATTCAAAAATGTTTTTCAAATTGGTTATTACAGTGTCGGACCTTTTATTCGGCTTTTTGATATCGAGAAAAAAAATCTGGCATTGCTGCAAACTCTACTAACACTTTGGGAGGAGGGAGTAATTTCCTTAAAGCAAATGTTGGTTCAATGATAAGTAAAATTAGAAATTGGGTATTCTGATTAGGAAATCTCCAAAAACTTCGCTTATATTTTAAAAAGAAAATATTACCCCATACACACTTTATGTAATTCATCTATAATTATGTAACTTATGTCATTCAAAATTTTTTCCACTGATTCAGAATTTAATTCCTTCATCTAAAATACTTTTATTTTCAAGTGTTAATTGAAAGCTCTTCCTGCATAACTTTCTATTTCCAGAATCTTTTATTTTTCTTCCTTCATTACAATCTATTATAATCGTTACTCAATATTTTTAAAGAAAGAAAAACAGTAACATTGCCTGCTATGTCTTTCAAAAACTATTTCAAATTATTTTTTTGAATATTTTGTAAAAACACTGCAAATTTATGCAAAAGAATTATCATAAATTAAAATTTTGAGTATAAATTATAATTTCTAAAAATGTGGGTGACAGCCAATTGCTCGTTCCAGGCTAGAAATGTTTTCCTAGCTTTTAAATTTAAACTCTTAATATAAATCCTTTATTGAATTCAAAGTAGTTAGGTAAATGAAAAAGTTAATCATTTTTTTTTACTTATTAACCATAATTTATCTAAGTTACTGATCACTAAAAAATATTTTTGCTTTAATATCATTTGCTAAATTACAAATAATTTACTTGATAAATATATTATTTCTAGAATAAAATATATAAATATTAATTAGTATAAAAGTGTTGATAGGTGTTAATTACACACTGAATATTTTATCTTCTAAAATATATGAATTAATCTTTTCATTATTTTTCTGTTTATAACATGTTAATTATCAAGACATGTTTTGTTATAATTTTTCCTGCTCAGACTTAATTCTGAGTTTTTCCAATAAAAGGTCCAGAGCTGCATGGAAAATGCTTAAGATGTTCGTTATTTATCTGTATTGTTGTTTAACTGTAGAAATAGATTTGTAAAATTTCTGTAGATTTTGAACTTTTCAAATGATAATCGTATTATAAAACTTTTATCTCAATTTTATATGACTTTGTAAGAGCTATTTGCTTACCTAAAATAGCTTGAAACAGTTTTGGTTAGTAAACAGGTAGTTAAAACGGTTAGGTAGATACTACTTTTTAAATTCAATAAGTTTATGAATCGTTACATCCTATGTTTGTCTACTAAAACTTGTTTGACTACCATTGTGTATCACTAATAATAGTTGAAAACTATCAATGAAATATTCTCTTTCTATGTGCAGTTCTTAAAATGTATTCTTTGATACATTTAAAACTGCTTTCTTGTGATATTTTTGGTTTTATTTTTAATGAATTATATTTTACTACAATAAGTATCATTCACAAGCAACTTAATGGTAATTTATGGAATAGTTAATCAAGAATGTATCTTAACTAATAACTTTTAAAAATTTACAAAATATTTGTGTGCATATATTCAGTGTTGGTAAGCAAAATACAAGCTTCATGCTATTAATTGAAAATTGTTTTGATTGTAAATAATGAAGTTGTAAAATAAATGTAATGAATTATAATTTTTGTACATATGTTGGTTTTTCTTTTAATCTAAAGTTAGTTGAACTGTAATGTTATTAGTGATATATAAGATTAAAGTCTGGCGTTATTGTTATTAAAAGTGCTGTTATTGATTATACATTCTACTGAAATTTTTTAAAATTGTGCATGCTTGATGTAAAGTATAGTAAAAACTTCGATGTAATGTTCGCCTGTTTTATTAAAACTAGATCATCAAGCTTACCATGAAAGGTCATTGTTGTAATTTTGATTTTTTGAGCTTTTGATTTTTATTCATTCAATCATGATAATGTAATAAATGTAAAGGATAGTTTTATGTATAAAGATATATCTATCTATCTATCTATATATATATACATACATATATAAAATGGTTTGAGATTTCAAAAAATTCTTAATGCTAATCAAGAAATTTGTTGATTAAATTTAATTTTTTTAAGGAAATATATCTTTATATTTACTGTTGGATTTTTTTTAATATATATATATATAAATTAGAAAAAAGTTTACTCTCATTTTTTTCCCTGAATGTTTGTTGTAGCTACTCCATTTGAGCTACTGTAAACTTTTTTTAAAAGAAAAAAAGGTAATCAAGAAGTGTTTCACAAAATGTTAAGTTGTGTAAATGTTGCATTCATCAAAAAAATAATCTTTTATCTTAATAGCAGCACTGCAAATGCTGAAACTGTCAGCACCCAATCTAGTTATTAGTATGTTTGTTTTAGTGTGTTTAGTTATGCTCAATTTTGCTAATGCAAAAACAGTGTAGTTTAGAATATTTTTTAACCTGCTTGCTTGTATTGAAGTCTCACTGGAATTTTGTCTTGGCACTGAGCAAATATTTGTTTGCACTTCTTTAATTTTATCTTTCTAAGTATTGGTGTATTTAGGTTCTTAAGTATTAAGATTACTCTAAGTTGATTTAAAAATAATTGTGATGTCGGTGACTCACATTTTAACTTTAATATTATGTGCTTATTTCAATATAACTAAAACTTCTAGGTAATTACTTATATTATTTGAGCTGTACAATTGAAATGTTATAAACAAAAAAGAAAGAAAGGTTTTGAAGTATTGAATTTTCATTTTAAACAACTTGCGAATGTTATTTAAACGAGATTTTTTTCTTCTTCCCTAATAACGGATTTTTAGCTTTATTCTTTAAAAGAAAATGCCGATAATAATAAATTTTTTGTAAATAATAGCTTTATTTCAAATTTTATATTAGGTTGTTACATATGAAATGTTGGATTTTTTATTGTTTAAATAAGCATAATTTTTTTAAAAAACTATTTTATTAATCAAAGTAAAAACCATCACAATCAACACAGTTATGCCAATGTGTTACTAGTTTTTAGCTACCACTTTCATAAAAATGTGGCTCTCTGATGTCAATAAAATATTGAAAGTTGTCCAAATGTTTAAAAAAGTGATAATCAGTGGGAGACATGTCCAGGGGATGTGGTGAACCTCTTATTTTAATTCAACTAGCATGTTTGTGACGATCAATTAAGCATGTGGTTGCTCATGATCATGAAACAAAATGGGTCCTTTTTAGTTGACCACTGCCGGCTGCGATTGGTATAATAACTTATGTGCATAACTTCAATTTCTGCATGGTATTGCTCTGCTGTTATTGTTTCACCAGCATTTAAAACTTTATAATGAATTATTCCGGCCATGAACCACCAAACAGTAATTATCACCTTTTTAGGGTGCAGCAGTGCTTTTGAACTTTCATCTGCATCCATTGCGCTGAATGCTGCCTATTGTCATAAAGGATCCATTTTTCATCACTGGTAATATTTCTGTTCAAAAATGTTCTCTTTTATTTCTTAGAAGCAAAGAGCGGCATATAAAAACTATTGTTTTTTTTGCTTTTCGTTTAGTTTGTGCAGAACCCATTTATCCATCTTTTTTACTCCATTTAACTAACTCCTAATTCTTGCATAACTTCTCAAACAGTAATGCAAGAATTAGATTCCATAAGGGCTCTCCATAAAGTGTCATCAAGCTTTGACTCTGGTTTTCACGTGGTTCATTTTCAAGATTTTCATTATCATCATCAATTTTTTTAAAGCTACGTTAAATTGTCCATTCATTAACACTGGCTTTACCAAATGTAGCACTAATGTTTCGAACAGCTACTAAACTGCTATAACCAATTTTGAATTCAGAAAGAAAAATAACACTTGTATCACGTGAATTCATGTTTAGAAATCAGTGTCTAAAACTATGCAAAAAAATAACGCATAAAACTTTTAGTATGATAAGAAAGAGCATATATTAAGCTTTAGAATAATATATAATTTTGTAATTCATAAACATTTATTAAGAAAAAGATTAACAAAGTTGCTTTAAAAATATCTGACATTTCATATGTAACAACCTGATACAAAATTGTGATTTTTTTTCTTTTAAAGGACGGACTAGACAAATAATTTTCAATCAAGTACTTTTTTATTCTATTCCTTCAGGAATATCACTATAAAGATAAATTTTTAATGTTCTGAAAATTTTTACCTTTAGTAATCAGCTAAATAATTTTTACAGAGGGGAAATGTGTTATTCTGTATTTTTATTAAACAGCTATGATTTACTTCTATTTTTATTGTAAAAATATAATAAAAAAGTAACATTTAAAAATTAGGAAAATATTTTTTTTTCCACTTTTTTTGAAAAATTGTGATTGTTTAGATTGATTTTGTGTAAAAAATGTAATAAAAAATTAGTTTTTTTTACAGATTTCAGGAAAATATTTTTAAACAAGTTTTTTTTTATTTACTTTCTTTCAATAATTGTGATTTGTTTTTATTCTTATTGTGTTCGATTTAGATTCTAACATTATACCTATTTTATAAATGTGTGGTGATCAGGCATTTGTGTGTCTTTATTTTTAAATTTGTTTTTAGAGTATCTAGTTATACATCTGTGAAAAATATATTTATTTATTTGTTTTGTCCTATTAATCAATCTTATTTATTCTTTGTGTGTAAATTATGTTTATTATATTAATTATCTTAATACATGGAAAAATTTTTACCTCACCTATAAAAAGAAAGAAAAAGCTCTTATAAAATAAACAAAAGTAATAAAATAAACAAAAAAATTCCCAATAAATTTCGTATATTGAACTTTCTAATGTATGAGTTGATTTCTAAAATTGAGTTAAATTATAAATTGGGACATACATTTATTGTAAAATAAAAACAAAAATCAATTCTTATTTTTTATTCATAAATTTTTCAAGTACTTTTATGGCTAATAACTAAAATTTTAATTTTTTAGTTTCTTTTTTATGCATAAAAAACAAATTGCTTTGAATAAAAAATTTTTAAAAAAGGAAAAAGAATTACCAAAAATAGATTGTCATACTCTATGTACAGACATCGTACACTCATACAAATAATAAAAATATTTAAATACATTTTTGTTATTTCATAGAGGGAAGAAAATTAATTTTATTTGCTGCACAAATAAAGTAATAAAGTAATA